ATACGTTGACATTTTGTTTTATATTTGTGTGAGTAATTTGCACTGGGCAGCTCATCGATGTGTGTGTGCAGACCGCTGTTCTACGTTATACATGTGCGAGCAGCGCGCCGACAGAACAAAACCCTATGCTCACTTAATAGGGCGCTGCGGACCGCTGAACTATAGGTATTTACTCTATCTGCAAGGGTATATAAGCTTCGGCTGGCCGAAGCTAGCTTCCTTTCTTGTTTTAAATTATAATTACAAATAAAATATCCTTCCCTTATTTTAATCCCCTTTCCCAACCAACCCTTATTACTAACTAGCAAGTAAGTGCCAGAGTTTTAAAATATTGCGCATACGACACGTTGAACACGTTTAATTAATTTTGTAACAAACAGAGAGATCGAATTTTTCTCGTTAGCTGAGAAAGAAAAGGGTAAAATATATTGTAAAATATTGCGCATACGTCGCGTTGCACATCGTTAAGGGTGTTTTGGGGGGCTCCGATGGTTTGATGGTCAGATGGTCAAATGGCTTGGTTGGCAAAAAAGGGGAGGGATTGCCGGACACCACAGCCGCCCACAAACTGTCCAAATATGTTTGGTTTTTCAGCTGCCGTGGAAGTGGAGCTGGAGGCTCCCTGCAATCCCAATGTGGCGATGCAATGATGAGCGAAAAATTGACATGCATGTAATTAGTGACAAGGGGCCAGTACAGTGGACACGGCCTCCGCCCTCCGCTGTTAGCACTTGATGAGCTTTATTCGCACACGCTCGCATATGCAGCCGTATCGTATATATATCAATTATGCCGTTTATGTCCAAATGTCGAGAGTTCGCCCTTGTAGCCCTCGAATGCGGCAAAAATTAATTTTCGACGTTTCGCTGTTTCGATGCCACGCAATCCACAACGAATGGCAGAGCATCTTACAAAAATTAAAATTAAGTGTCACAAAGAAAAAAATTAGTAGTTAAATTAAAACCATTTTTTTATTATAAAAATGTATTTTTTAATTTTCTAAACAAATTTTTGTTTAATTTATTAAAATAAGGAAATACCTAACCATTATTTATTTTGTGATAAAACTAAACAAACTATTAAAACTAAGTTTATATAATGAAATAACCAAACTTACAAAAATTAAATGTCATAAAAAAGTTAATAGTTAAATATGGACATCCTTTTTCAATTTTGTAAAAAAATATTTTTTTAAATAAAGAAATACTTAACTGTTATTTATTTCGACAGAATCTGCCGGAAAAAATCTTAGTAAGCTACAAAATGTAAGTTTATGTAATGAAATAAGACAAAATATATCATATTTTAAACATTTTTATATATTTTAATCAATTATTATTTTCATAAAATGGAATACATTTAAAATGTAGGTAAAATTTAGGTAGCCGCCAAAGTGATTCGTTTGTAAGTTTAATTATTAGAGAGTTTAGTTCATTTTGAAACATTTTCATATAGCATTGTTTATGGGCAAAGTCTCAGGGGCATTGTTTAAAAGCATACGCGATAGAGTAGGTCAACAAATGGGGTGCCGAAAAAGGAGCCGGAAGAGGAACAGGACCTGGAGTTGGTACGAAAAATGGATTCGAGATGGGTTGGAGGATGGGCTGAGATGGAATGGGCGCCTGTCTCGTCAGCGTCACTTGTCACATTCACGTTGACTCTTTTGACACGTCGACAAATTGTCAACAACGTTGCCACCGAAGAAACCAAAGGACCAACAAAAACTAAGAAAAATGATCCAAAAATGCCCGGCCACACTGGAATGCCTCCTGATGGCTGCATGTGAATGTGCGAGTCCTGGTCATTCTGGTGATTCTGGTGGGTTGGTGGTGCAACCGGAACAGGAGAGACTCCTCTATTAGCAGGCCGCTGGCATTTTCACGCTTTCGTTTTATGCGGCTCAGTGGATTTCTGTCGCACTTAACGGCATCAGTGGCAGTGACACTGGCCAGGGTGCCTTTTCCCCTTTTCCCATGCCCACTTTCCCAACGACTGGCTTTCCACACACATTTATCAACGCCTCGCACAGCAAAGTCCAGAGCAGGAACTTCGGTTCCCAAGCATTTTGCTGAAAAATGCAATTCAGCACGATTTGCATTTTAGGAACCGCACAGCCCCCGTGACTCCTGCACATTCGGCTGATTCCTGTGGAGTCCTTGCCAGAGCCCAAGCATCAGGAGCAGATCTGCCTCCAGCGAAAGATCAGCCATAATGTCTGTAGAAGAAAGATAAACTCATATAATCATGCAAATTATTTAGCTAAAAAATAATCCAAATCGTATTAGTGACACTTTTAAATAGTATTGATAGAAGAGCTTGAAAAACTAAAGACATTTCGATATTTTTCGATATTTAATGTTTTTTTTTACAATCATTTGGATATTTCCCTAAAAACATCGATAACAGTATATTAAAAAGATCGACATCTTTTAAGCTCTACCTAACAGGATCATCAAATTCGAAAATTTTAAATAGTTTTTAAAATATTTTAGCGCTTAAAAAATAAGAAAGTCGTTTTTTACTTCTTATTTGGACTCTAAATACACTCTAATGATTGAAATATAGTTAAAAACTAATTAATATATGATTTAAATATGCTATTTACTTTTCTTCATATTGAATAAATTTATTTATTTATTTCCTTTCAGTTTCGCCTACGAATTGCCCTTTCTACCTACATTATAATCGTTCTTAAGCCCATTGGTCTTGGGACATAACTCTTTTCGTGGCTCCCCTGACCGACCGCTTCAGACAGTTGGAATTACGAGCATTTCCGGTTGCTTCGGCAAATAATTAAGACTCCGTTTTAGAGCGGTTCCAGGAGCTACCATATTTTATCCGTGGCGATTTCGTGCCGGCACATCAATCAAAGTAAATATGTGAGTGCGGGGGCGAAGGCGGCAATTTCCATGCGAATGTGTTTCAAGTGCCTTTCCCAGTTATAAATTTCCGCACACATCCCAGCACAAGGACGAAGGACACGAACGGGGAACTGGGAACAGGCGCTGAATGCATTCCACTCACGGCAATGGGGAAAGTGTCAAGTTAATGCCAGCAGCGATAGCAACAACAACAACAACAACAGCAGCAACGACGACTACAAGGACATTGCCCACCCACATATTCCGCCCACCTCCTTTTGCGACAACCCCTTCACCTAATGACTGCGTTGACGGCGTCATTTGCCTGGCGAAAAGGTAAGAGGAATCACAAGCCAAAAATCTAGGATCTGTAAAATAAAAGCCAGCTGGCAAATACCCTTTCAATATTTAAGACTGAGCATTAAGCATTTCAAAACTAAATTATTAATTATTTGTACTATTATTAATTATTTATTATTTTATTATTTAAAATTACATTATATTAGAAAAATTCCCAGAAGATCATCTAAAACTAAACAACTGATTTATTAACCAACCATTTAATTTGTTTTCTTTAATTTTAAAAGTCTTCCCCTACACTTTTCTTATTATTAGAAAAACAAATTAAACAAATGATATTTTATAATCAACTAATACTTATCACTAGATTTTTTATACGTTCTTAACATACATACTTTAAAATAAAAAAAAAACTCTATTTCAGTAAGCTTAAGTATATATTTCTAAACCGAGTCGGGTCCTTCCGGCATGGAAATTGGGTATTCAAAAAATATGCAACAAAAATCTTTTCTACCTTTTTTAGTTCAACTTGCTTAGAAATCCAGATTGAGAATATATCTTTTATATACAAATTTAAAACCTCAAAAAATGAAATAAATGGCTAACTCAAAATATTAGAAAATCATTATCATAATGTACAAATATTAAAAGTATACATTAAAATTGTAGGATCATAAATAGAAACCCAACTATTTTATGTTTTCTATTTCCCATATATACCCCATTTCCCACCAAACCACACACAATCTAGATTCTAAAAGCACTTGTCTGACTGATTTGGGAACTAACAAGATGCCTCCTCCCCATTCGAAGCCTTTTCGGGGGCGGCGTAGCATTTTCGCGCAGTGTAGACCAAGTTATAATGATGCCACTTGGCTGACTGCCGTTGATGTTGCTGCTGCTGCTGTTGTCGTTTAGCTGCTAAGGCGATGCCAACATTTTGGACGCTCTTTGGACCCTTCAGACAAGTCAAAAGGACTCGAGTCCCGAGCTGACAATGATATGTGCCCGGCACTGGGGTAACTTAGGTGGGTAGCCGGGTAGATCTCTGAGTCGGGCAAGCGGAGTGGAGCGGAAATATTGCTGACAGTTGTGGCATATTATCATACGGCAGTGTCCTTGCTCCAAGTTGAATCCTGGCTCCGTGTCCTGCCACATTAGCCGTCGCGTGCTCAGCAATCGCCCGACATTTGTCGCATCCCCTGACAGATGCATTTCCCCGTTCAGTTTCAGTTCCATTTCCCACTTCAGGTTTCAAGAGGCAAGGCCTTTTGGCCCTTTGATCTTTTCAAACAAACTCATTGAACCAAAGAAAATATTCACCTATAAGCTTTGAATGCAAAATATAATCTAAATGATAATATAATATAATAATATACACCCAAATATAGAAAACAGTTATAAATAATTCTAAAATCTGACATCTATATATTGCTAACCTATCTTGAGCTATTTGGACGCCCCAATGCCCCACTTTATGTGTTAACCAATCTTCAAAATTGACAATCTTAGATTAAAACAGAACTATCAAATAACGCTACATCTGCAAGATAAACTAATGCCATTGTCTTGGAATTTTTGGCAAATAGTGCCAATTGTATAACTCGCGGGTGTAAACAAACTCCTATTCTAAGCGTGTGTTGTGCAAAGAGCGAGGCAAATATGGCAAATTTTCAGATCCCGAGATCATAGACAGATGGAATCGGAGCGGTATTTGCGCGGGGCAAATAACTCCAATGTGGATGCTGCGTGGATGGGAAGGTTTTTTACTATAAAAGCCCAGGAGAAACTCTTTCAAAAGCACAGTTCCGAGTTCCAAGTATTCCGATCCACAACAAGATGCGATTCCTCTGCGTGCTGATCCTCTCCTGCCTCCTGGCGGTGGCCTATACCGCCACGACGAGTCCAGCAGACCCAACAACGACTCCAACAGCTACTCCAACAACGACTCCAACAACAACTCCAACAACGAGTCCAACAACAACTCCAACAACGACTCCAACAACGAGTCCGACTACGACCACTCCATCCACAGACAGCTCTACCACCAATTCAACCACCACGGCCACCACTGTGGCCCCCACGACCTCCTCCACCACGGAGGCTTCGACTTCCGACAAGAAAGTGAAACACGAAACCCATTGGAAGGTCGTAAGACGCGAGCCCGCTAAGATCATAACGACTCATCATAGCAAGGGCCATGAGGAAAAGAAGGACAAGAAGTCTAAGAAGGACAATAAGAATAAGAAGGACGAGAAGAATAAGAAGAACAACAAGAGGAAGAACAGGCGTACCCGTCGCAGTGGTTAAATTTTGAAACCCTCTTATCGCAAACCGACCCACCAATCTTACCCAAAATATTGACTATATCTTATTATTATATTATATTTTAACCAAATTAAGCATTCATATAAGTACTATCTAAATTCAATAATAAAAAAATTATTTTATTTTAAATTATTAATTAATGAAAATAATAAAGGCAAAATAAAGTATAAATACCGACTTAAAGTTATCACATTTTTAAAATATCTTAAAAAGGGTATATTGTATTCGTGCAAATGTATGTAACAGCTAGAAGGCAGCGTTTCCGGTCCGAAATATATATTCTTGATCAGGGTCGCTAGCCGAGTCGATATAGCCATGTCCGTCTGTCCGTCTGTCTGTCCGTATGAACGCTGAGATCTCGGAAACTACAAAAGCTAGAAGGTTGAGATTTCCCACACATATTCTTGGGCTTCCTACGCAGCGCAAGTTTCAGCCGAGCGCCACGCCTCTCTAACGCCCACAATCGCCCACTAACGATTTTAAAATGTGTCTGGCGCCCATATTTTTAAAGATTTCCGAGAAGTATAAATGCAATTTTGTTGTGTATACCTATCGAAATGTAGAAGACATATTTCAAATCGGACCATTCATTAACAAGTTATACGCAATCAAAAAAATGGGGTGCATGTCATAACGCCCGGTGTCATAACGCCCGGTGTCAAAACGCCCGCAGGCGCTGTCACTTTTTTTGAGGGCCTTATACACCCAGGAAAGTGTCATAACGCCCTATTTAACATTTTATTGAAATTCTTATAAATGCGAGTAACATAGAGTAATATAATAATGAGTATTATAGAATAATGTAGCAAGGAGTAATGTGCTTGCAGTTAATTGCGTAACTAAAAAAAAGCGGCCGCAGGAAAAAAATTTTGTCTGCGGTCTATTTAACAATTTATTGAAATACTTGTAAATGATTTTCAACTATCTGTCTGCAGTATGGGCAGAGCAATAGAGAGTTTTTTTGAACGCTGTTCCAGATTTTTGAAGCACTCAAAGCATGGTAGAAAAACTACGTCTCGCGGCCCATCAACGCAAATAATACATTTCATCACGTCAGCCATTTGGCTGAACTGGAAAGTATTTTCCACATCTTCTGAATCAGAACCGGAACATAACTCCTGAAAAGTGTTTTCCCACTTAAGAAGCTTGTTTTTCGGATTTATCAAACAGTTAAAAAATTCAGTAACGGAAATGTTTGACGCGTCCAAACCCCTAATAAATTCATTTATACGGTTTTCTTTGATTCTAAGATTTTTGCGTCTAATGTTAAACGCTGTTAAGTCTCCATCAAGGACATTGGACAGTATTACGGACGTAGCATATACTATGTTTATACACACAAAAAAAAAACTATGTAAAATCAACTATTTAATTGTGAAAACTGCCCCAACCCATAAAAAATATAAAATGCCCCAAAAAATAGAAGATAACCTATAAAATAGTAGATGACCTACAAAATAGTATTTAACCCGAAAAAAATTGTTGTTTTTTTAAATTATGTTTTTAACTTTTTTTATTTTTAATTTAATTTGTTATATTAATTTATATGGAAGTTATTTATAGACACTTACATTTCACAGATACTTAAACTTACAAATCAGGTTTTTTGCCTCCGCTGGGAATCGAACCGGGGCCGCAACCATCGGAGTCAAGCACTCTAACCACTAGGCCACAGAAGAATGCTTTTTGTAGAGGAAAATCTATAGACTTGAAATCAACAAAAAACAATAACAACAAAAAAAAAAAAAAAATATCAGCTGCAAAAGCGGGCTTTGAACTCACGACCCAGAGATTATGAGTCGGATACTCTAGCCACCCTAAGTCCAGAAAAATATTTGACATACAATTTATAATCGTATTTTTAAAACAACAAAATATATGAAGGAAAAAAATAGTTGTGTTACGATATTAATTGTGGTGTTACTATTTAATGCCCCAAAAAATAAAACAACAAAATACACGCAAACAAATAAAATAGTTTTGCTACGATATTAATTGAGACGTTACTATTAACTTGCCAAATGAATAAAACAACAAAATACATGCATATTTCGTAAATAGGTACTATTTTAATTGTTAAATACTATTCAATGACCCAAAAAATAAAACAACAAAATACATGAAAAATTCAGAAAATAGTGAAATACTATTTTTCTATGTTAATTTTACATAGTTTTTTTTGTGCGTACGATAGCAATCACGATTTCTTGAAAGCGCGATATAGAAATAGCCCCTGTTTATACGACAGCCGAGAATTCATGCTTTTATTCAGTCTCAGCTGATAGGGATGCCGGACCGGTAAAAATATCTAATTTTTAATGCCGCTGATTAGAGAAATAGTCTATAAAAGGCCATCAATTTCTAGCGATCTGGCAACGTCGATCGTTTTTTAGAGAGTTGCCAGATTGCTTATCACTTAATCACGCTTTTGGGCTGAAATCATGGTCAACTTTCGTGTGTTGCCGAATTCACGAAACGGAACACGAATCGGCCGAAAGCGTGAAATGATAGCGTGAATTCGGCATCGTATAAACACAGTAATAGTCTTCGTTTCGAATAACTTCGAGAAACTGGCTAAAATGCTAATGCTTTTGTATGCAACGTCGCGTTGAATGATTCCAACGAGCTTGTTGTTCGCAAAGTTTGCGAGTGCACCGGGAAAACATCTGGTGTGGTCTGAAAGGCAGGTAAAATACAATTTATCAATTTTTGTAGAGTACAGAAAATTTAAAAAATGGGAAAAAGATTATTTCAATTAATTTTAAACACACCTTTACCATCCATTGCCTTTCAAAATATTTTAAAAACAGTTTAAGAGTTTCCCGCTTCTTCTTGGGCAGCTCTTGCAGTTCGTCCTTCAAAATTGTAAACATTTCTTGAATCTGCGAGGGCTGAACTAACGGCAGGCTGAAAAATTTGCGGTACCTTTTGTAGTAGTTCAAATCGTTTTTCATGGTGGCTCCGAAACTTCCAATTTTCTGGTTATTGGGACTCAATGCTTGGCAATAGTGAAACCAGCAGCCATTTAATGTAGCCGTTGGAAAAATTGTATTTTAAGCTTCTCGACATCTCGTAATCCATAGTAAAACTTTTTGGATTAAAAGTTGGTATTCAAAAATCCAAAGACGTGTTCATAAGCCTCGGTTGACTTCCTTGTCATTAATATGTAAATAAATAGAAAAGTCTGCAGTCAGAGAAAATAGTTTAAGAGTAAAATATTGCACTTACGATACAAACAGGACTAAAAGATCTATACGTACATGGTTTCTGTATTGGTAATGAACAATTAGTAATTGCTTAAAACCGCAAGAAGGTACCGTGTCAAAGATTCCATCTACAAAAAAGTGACGTTCTTCTTCGATGTGCTCCACGATGCTTGGCGATAGAAATACACAACATGCGAAGATGTCTTCCATTACTGTGCCCCTATAGAAGGGTTTATTGTTTTTCTTAGTTGTTCCATATTCTTCCATAAACGCTTTATCAATAAATAGCGCTTCGGTTTCGGTGGGTGATTTAGGTTCCGTTCCCGAAGCTTTACTTCGAATTCGAAAAAGTTTCCGCTTTATTTTCGGAAATGATACTGAAGGTGTTGCATCTCCACTAATTCGGCATTCTTCGTAAAAAAAAATAACGAATTCCTTTTCTTTTTAAGTTTTTTTGTTCAGATTGTTCTTTTACATTGTTAATCAAATCCAGATCCTTAATTAGTTTTTCTGGCGGACCAATCATGGTTTCAGCCCAAAAGCGTAATTAGGTGATAAGCAATCTGGTAACTCTGTAAAAAATGATCGACGTTGCCAGATCGCTAGAAATTGATGGCCTTTTATAGGCTATTTCTCTAATCAGTGGTATTAAAAATTAGATATTTTTACCGGTCCGGCATCCCTATCAGCTGAGAGTGTATAAAACAGCGGTCGGCACACACATACAATTCCTTAGGCCAAACGCTCGGCCGCTGTCGACGTCAGCAGAGTAGTCGGTATTTATATATTGCGCTCTCTTTCCTTGTCTAATAATTTGTTGTTGTACTAGAGGAAAAAGCGGAACTCCCATACAATTTTTTCTATGTGGCGTCCTCGGTGCGTCCTCGAGTACAGATGACCTGTCCTCGGGTTTTCCTTTGGTGATTACTGAGGGAAAAGTGACATCTGGTACTGAAGGGATATTTGTATGAGTAAATTGCACTGGGCAGATCATCAGAGTGTGTGTGTGCAGACCGCTGTTCTACAGTATACGTGAGCGAGCAGCGGGTGGGCAGAACTTAACCCTATGCTCACTTAAAAGGCCGCTGCCGACCGCTGGTATAAAAGCATGAATTCTCGGCTGTCGTATAAACAGGGGCTATTTCTATATCGCGCTTTCAAGAAATCGTGATTCCTATCGTATCGTGAAATGATAGCGTGAATTCGGTATCGTATAAACACAGTAAGTGATTAACTGACTAAAATATGAAAAAGCTTGAGAGGTATCATAATAAACGGTACTTCTCTTCTCGGTAATCTCATTGATTCGGAATGCGCTTTACAACATAACAAACAGTAACTCTCTTATCTGTATTCTCATTAACTCAAAATGCATTTTAGAATTTTTTTAGAAGTTGAAAGAAGTTAAAAGTGTCATAATGCCCGCGGGCGCTATGACACCGGGCGTTATGACACGCACCGAAAAAAATGTTATATATCCATCTCCCTCGCACTCCCTTTAGCCGAGTGACGGGTATTAGATAGTCGGGACACCAACAGAACTATAGCGTTCTCTCTTGTTTGAATGCTGCGGTAGCATAAATAAAAACTTCATATGAATATATTTATGCACATACGTATGTTTTCATAATTTTTAAAACATGTTTTTAAATTATTAAATCAAATTAATCTTCATTCAAATTTAAAAAAAAGTATTCCAAATGTTACTATACATCATTTTGTAAGTTCTCCGACTGGCGCCATCTGGTACACAACTTCTAATGGTTGAAAAACATGAATGAGCTTGCAACTCAACTTTCTTTCAAAGCTTTCTCCAAGAAATTCAAATAGTCGGGAAGAATTTTAAAAACTCCAAGAGGACATTTTTCTATCTACCTCAAAATGAGGACATTTTATTTCGACTGCGTAAGATTCATGACAATTAGCACTGCTGTAACAATAATTTACATATTACCTTGTAACTTGGTACATACAATTAAGAAAAAAAAGAGTTTTATAATATTTAGTTGAGGGAAAACAAAACATGTACGCTATGTAGATTCCTTGGACTGCTTGTGAGGCTGGATTGCCAGCAAGATGTCGTCGGCGTTCTTGAACTTCAGCGATATGTTCTCCACGAACTGCAGTTTGTCCAGCTCAAACTCGCTCTGAAAGTCGAAATTCGCGATCAGCTTGACCAAGAAGACCTTTATGATGAAGAGCCCATAGCGGCGTCCTGAAAGATAAAATATATAAAGATAAGTTTAGAAATAGAAACAATCATTAAACCACAATTTATTTAATTTTTTCTGATTATATTGACATGTCACTGAAAACAATGCCATTTTGTTAAAGATTTAGGTTTAAAAGGTATGACAGTTACATTTTCTTCCATTTCTAGCCTAGTGAAATTATGAATTTCCTTGGAATAATTGGTTTAAAAAAGGAAGGGCAAGGATACAAACAAAAAGGTTGCGACCTATGCCACTTAGATTAAAATAACTTTTTGACCGAAGGCAACGGTGGGTATGAGTGATAAATAGACTTAGATTTTTGTGAGAAATCTATTTTTTATACCCGTTACTCGTAGTGTAAAAGGGTATATTAGATTCGTGCAAAAGTATGTAACAGGTAGAAGGAAGCGTTTCCGACCCCATATAGTATATATATTCTTGATCAGGGTCACTAGCCGAGTCGATCTAGCCATGTCCGTCTGTCCGTCTGTCTGTCCGTCTGTCTGTCTGTCTGTCTGTCTGTCTGTCTGTCTGTCTGTCTGTCTGTCTGTCTGTCTGTCTGTCTGTCTGTCTGTATGAACGCTGAGATCTCGGAAACTATAAAAGCTAGAAGATTGACATTTTGCATGCAGATTCTAGGAGTTCCTACGCAGCGCAAGTTTGTTTCAAAAGGGTGCCACGCCCCCTCTAACGCCCACAATCGCTTATATACGATTTTAAAAATTTCAATATTTTGGAAAAGTAAAAATGCAGTGTTATTGTGTTTATCAATACCTATCGAAATGTAGAAGAAATTTTTTAAATCGGACCATTCGTTAAAAAGTTACGGCGGATCATAGTTTTTCTCCATCTCCTTCGCACTCCCTTTAGCTGAGTAACGGGTATCTGATAGTCGGGGCACGCGACTATAGCGTTCTCTCTTGTTTTAAACTCTTATCGGTTAAAAAATAAAAAAAAACGAAATTAGAATAAATTTAAATCTAATTATGATTTTATGAAAACATTTTTTTACCAATCCAATGTGGCTGGAAATTGGCCTTTCACTCACCGATACACGACCGCAGTCCATTGGAGAAGGGCAGGAAGCTGTAGGAGTGTCGCCGGTCCCGCTGCCTTCGAGCCTTCTCCTGCCCATTGGACTGCTGCTCCCGATCCTGATACTGGTCCTGATGGTCGAGGAACCTCTGCGGATCGAACTGCTTGGCGGTGGCGCCCCACCAGCGCTCGTCGCGTTGCATATTGAAGGTGTCCAGCACCACGATGCTGTTCTGCGGCACAATCGTCTCCCTCTCGCGGCCCGCTAGCTGAAAATCCCTACTAACATGGCGCAGATTCATGGGAACAGTGGCCAAAAGACGCAGCGATTCGCTGACAAAGGCGTCCAAATAGCGCATCTGCTGCAGCTGCTCCAATCCCACCTGCCCACTGTCCGGCACCAGGGACCTGATCTCCGCCAGCAATCGTCGCTGGCACTCGCCCTTGTTGGTCGCCAGGCAGAGGAGGGCCAGCATAATGCTGTTGGACACCGTCTCGAAGGACTGAAATGGAAAATAGATCATATAAGTCATTATATTCGGTTGCAAAAATGATACCACAAAATATCAAATTGATCATTGTTTCGTATCAAGTTTTTTTTTGGGTGTCTCCCGGAAACCAGCCACCTATAAAAAGGAATCCTATGGAAACTTTGTACCTCGAAAATATGAAATTATTAGGTCAGTTTTGAGAAAAAATACTTAAGTTGTTCGGATCCATCCATCCATTCTACTTTATAAGTAAACAATTCTACAAATTGGCAATCTTAAAATAAAATTATAAAACAGATCCACATCTACATCTTGTTATGTATTCAAGTTATTTGTTCCTATTTGTACTATACGTTTTATAGCCATTAAGTTGGCTGATCAATGTAAATTTATATAAGTTACACTAAAAAAAAAAAAAAAAAAATCCACATCTGCAGGCAAAATGTATGCCATTGTCTTGGAACTAACAATTCTTTATTAGTGAGTAAGAACACTTACCCTCGATTGGGGTTTCGGCAAATAGCGCCAATTGTATAACTCGCGGGTGTAAACAAACTCTTATTCTAAGCGTGTGTTGTGCAAACAGCGAGGCAAATATGGCAAATTTTTAGATCCCGAGATCATAGACAGATGGAATCGGGGCGGTATTTGCGCGGGGCAAATAACTCCAATGTGGATGCTGCGTGGATGGGAAGGTTTTTTACTATAAAAGCCCAGGAGGAACTCTTTCAAAAGCACAGTTCCGAGTCCCAAGTATTCCGATCCACAGCAAGATGCGATTCCTCTGCGTACTGATCCTCTCCTGCCTCCTGGCGGTGGCCTATACCGCCACGACGAGTCCAGCAGATCCAACAACGACTCCGACAGCTACTCCAACAACGAGTCCAACAACAACTCCAACAACGACTCCAACAACAACTCCAACAACGACTCCAACAACGAGTCCGACTACGACCACTCCATCCACAGACAGCTCGACCACCAATTCAACCACCACGGCCACCACTGTGGCCCCCACGACCTCCTCCACCACGGAGGCTTCGACTTCCGACAAGAAAGTCAAACACGAAACCCATTGGAAGGTCGTAAGACGCGAGCCCGCTAAGATCACAACGACTCGTCATAGCAAGGGCCATGAGGAAAAGAAGGACAAGAAGTCTAAGAAAGACAAGAAGAATAAGAAGGACAAGAAGAATAAGAAGAACAACAAGAGGAAGAACAGGCGTACTCGTCGCAGTGGTTAAATATTAAAACCCTCTTATCCCAAACCGACCCACCAATCTTACCCAAAATATGGAAAATATTTAAACATTTAATTTTAGGTTACCTAAAGAAAGCAATAAAATAAAAAGCATATTTAAAAAAAAATAACATTCTTTTCTTTAGGACCAACAGTTTAAGATAATATTATGTCGAAAGCCCGAAAATTAAATTCCAAAATACCAAGCATAACGATTTGAAAAGGTTTGGTGAGGCAAACGCAGAATGTCGCTTTATCAATGTAGTTTAAATATTATAATTAAAAATAAAATTCGAAGTATATTTTTTTAGTCAAAAACTAACTATCAAATAATTAATATGAATATTTTTTGAAAACTTACCACCAGAACCATCGACTGAGCCTCGTGCATGATCTCCTCGAGGGTCATCTCCCCGTTGGCGGCCAGCTGGAAGATCTGTTCGATGAAGATGCGCCTCTGCCAGCCGGCGGAAGAATCCTCGCCAGACTTCTCCCTCAGGCGCCAGTTGCGGTGCTTCGTCCTCACGATTCCGCCTACAAAGTCGGCCAGCAACTTGCCGCACTTCCTGGACTCCTCGTAAAGCTCCGGGGCCAAAAAACGGTGCAACAATCGGATCTGGAGCCAGGGCTTCACCACCCGAACGGCCGAGATCTCCAGGAGTCTGGTTGGAATTAAGTTCTCAAAGGTGGAAATGAATAAGATGTAGCCACTCCACTCACCGCTTGTAACTGTGGGCAATGTGCGCGTCATCTATTTGCGTGAAATTTGTTGGTGTGCCCATAATAGTCACTGTAAGTACAAATATACATTTAATTAATTTATTGTATTTATTTATTTTTATTTCTATATATTTATTTTTATTTATTCATCTTTATTTATCTCTATTTATATTTATTTATCTTTATTTAATTGATTTATATTTATTTTTATTTATTATTTATTTACTACATTTATTTACTACATTATTTGTTACATTGTATCTTTACTGGTTCGGCCTCTGCGTTCCACCTTCAAATTTTAAGCTTTATATATATATATAGATTCAAGTAAAACTAACCCACTTTTTGTTCTGAGACGAAACGAAAAAAATACCAATGTCACAATAAAGTTGTCGGGTTTTAAAGGTTTTATCAAAGTGTCTATCAAAAACCCAGCAAATATTGTTTAAAAATGTAGATGCTAAAGATATATATGATATAGATATAGCATATTATATTATATTCTTTTAATCCTGCCAAGCAAGGGACTTAATACAAACATTTGTTTTCTATACCTATCACTTCCCACCTTCACAAAAATCTATTGATCGCTTCAATCAAACACTCATAATTTTATGTCAATATTTTGATTTCTCTCTGTGAGGCGATTTCAAGGGGATCGGGGTGATTACATATTCGCATATGGGTTTTATAGGGGATATTGGAAGATGGGTGGCGGGGTTCCGCATACGTGAGGCGCATGGAAACGCGGGGAACGTGTCGCCCCTCGAAGGGAAGTGAATGCAATTATTTATTTATTTATTTACTCCGCAATGGGTCTTACATATGGAGGGTCAGCTGCAATCAATTGATGATCGTTTGTAAGTCAATGGATGGAATTTTTATCAATTAACTGGATATTTTGTAGTCTAATTAGTTGACGTTCATTGATTTTTTAGATTTACATTGTTTGTATTTAATTGATTTATTATTTAGTAGTTTAATCAGTTCCTATTCATTGATTTTCGGTAATTCTTGGATTTATATAAATTCATTTATAGTTTTAAAAGTTTTAAAAGCTTAAAAAAGATAATAATATTCTTAGGAACGAATTTTGAATAAATTAATGCTGTTTAGGTGTATTTAAAAATGGAAATTAAAATTTACAAAAAAAAATATAATATAAAATAAACTGAAAAATAGTAAAACAAATGAAAAAGACTACTCACGACAGGACACCTCCAGGACAGCTCGACTAAGCAGGTCCTCGGCATCGGTAAACTTGACGGCCTTGCCATGGAGATTGGGCTGCGATGCGAACTGTTCGATTATCTGGTTGCCCACCGAGTTGAAGACATCGAAGAAACTAGCCACAATATTATGACTGAAGGCTGGATTCAGTTGCTTTCGGCGCAATTTCCATTGCTGACCTTTAATTAGGGTTAATTAATTCAAATTCGTTGAATTGCAGAATCTTCAGGTTAGTTACCTCTGGCATGAAGCAACCCGCGACGAACGAAGAAGCCATCCTGCAGGAAGGTCTTATCCAGACATTCGGGGGCATTGAGGACGCATTCCATGCCTGCCGGATCATCGATATAGACGAGGACACGGGTGCCCACGAGGACGGCCATGGGGCGCTGAAAGTACACGCGATATTGCGTAACCTTCTCCAGAATACCTGAAAAGTAATTTATAAAAAATAAAAGATAAAGAAACAATTTAGTCGAGTGGTCAAATTACCACTTAAATTGTATTACAAGTACACATAAAATCAAAATTAACTAAATACTTTATAAAATCCCCATTAAAACTTTTTGTTTGTTTCTAAATACAAGAAATTTATTTTTAATTTCAAGGAAAATGTCCCTTTTATAATGTGGTACACCAATTTTGTTTTTTCTTTGCAAAGACAGTTGTACAAAAAAAAAACTGTTTTTCATGGTTTAAAAAAAAAAAATTTTTTTGTCTATTTTCCTTAATATGTACAATAATTAATTTTATAATTATTAAAAAAAAAATGCTTCAAGACAAATAGCAAGTTAATATTTAAAAAAATCAAGTCCTAGTTTTGCATAATGATTATTTTTAAAAATTTAAGTTGATCCCTATTTTTTGTAATATCAAAACTATGTAGTATCCTTAAATTAAATCTCTCTAAATCTCATTGGATCACTTACATATGTAGCTATTTAAATGGTTTTTTAATTAAACTATTTATAACAAATTTTATACAATGCTGTTTTAAACTGATGCTAAATAATATATAAAAAAACACTTTGAAAACTATTTCACTATTCACTACTATCATTGTTGAAAACTTAATTTAATACCTACTTTTTAAAATATTAAAACTATATACTGTCTTTAAATTAAATCTCTCTAAATCCCATTGGATGTAGATAACTAAATAGTTTCATAAATAAACTATTTATTGCAAATTTTGTACAATGATGCTTTAAACTGATACACTTTAAAAACTATTTTAAGAACCAAAATTATTAATTTTAGGCAATATCCTTTTTTTTGTGGGCTTACTTTCATGGTATCATACCAAAAAAATTCATTTTTAAGCCCTATCCCATTTTTTGTGGGTATACTTAGTTTTGCCCGATTAAAGGGCTTTTCACTCAACTGTTGGGATGCAGGTTGATGCAAAGTAGGAGCCACAGGAGCGGCTGCTGAACCACTCCGCGCCATCCGTTCAGCTGCCAGATGAGCCGCCAGCACTTGCGCTGCTGCCAGGTGAGGAGCACCGCCAAAAGGGCGCCACATGCCCAAAGGGCCGCGGTGAGGTGCATTACTATCACTATCACCAAATGGCCAGCTTTTTATGGCCTAATGTGGTGCTTTGTAGGCAGCTCGCTTGGCTTTTTCAATTTGGCGCTGGCGTTTCAATTTCTCCTTGGACGTGGTTTCGGCGGCTCGGTGATGAAGGTGGCTTTAACTAAGCCAGGCGAACCGCTCGGTTGGGCCAACAGTTGACAACTGCCGAAATGTGCGAGACGAGACACAATTATTGGCAACACCGGCTGCCAATGACTAAAATGGCTATATTAATGGCCCAGTGAACAGTGGGAAGCTGACCCCTTCTATACTTAGTATTTAAATATTTTTTAGATGCATTTAAACCCATGGAACTGCAAAACAATATTCATATTAAATAAGACGCAATTTAATCTCATAAACAACAAAAAAATTTTGATGCTTAAATAAACCAACTTTAACAGTAAACATAGTAAATAATAATTATAAATAATATATATATATCAACAAAGTAAATGCAACTTCATTTTTGTTTTTTATCATATACTCTTGTACTAATAATAATAAAAATATAATAGCATAAAATAATAGAACCACCATATATATATTTTTTATCATATGACGATATTGCATCTCAACTTGCAAAATTAAAGTTCAAACGTTAGAAGTCTTTTCATTAGACTAGTTCCTAATAGAAATGAGACAATCCCAATAAATAAATCTATTAATATATAGACGACGGCAAAAGTGCACTTAAATATGTATGTACTATAGATTAGATATTGCAGGTTGATCGGTGGAAAAAGCCAGCAAAAACTGATCGTTAGCATTCAATAATCCGCATAAACCAGCGGCACAATAAAGCGTGTTCATATGTCTGAGTGAAATCCGATAGTCTTATCTAACCAGGCCTCTGTTAGCGTTAACAGTTCGTTGATCTGTTAGTGGAGCACTTAATAACCCTACAGTGCCAAAGTGGGTTTTTATTAACAGTCACTATAACAATATATCTAATATCTATATATTAAAAAAAATGTATTTGTACTTTAAGAATGATTTTTAACCTAATGAAAATAGAAAAACTTGAGGAAAACTTGTGTAAATTAATAAAAAAACGAATTAAATATAAATGATAGCAATTTTAATTTTAATTTTAATTTAGTATAATAATAATTATGACACTTATTATTTTTTACATTTTCTAAAATGTTACACTTGATTTAAAAAGGGTTAACAATCCACTTTAAAGATTAGCTGCCAATCAGGTTTAATTTAGCTAGCGATTCAGTACGATCGAATCGCTTGAAGAGAACAGTTCTCCTAACTTGTAGGCGACATGGCGCTGTGGCCGCTGCTGCTCATCAGCCTGGGAATATGGCTTCTGATCCGCAAATGGCCAATCCTGCGACTGGGCACTAGTCTCCCGGGTCCCTGGGCCTTGCCCCTTCTGGGAAACGCCCAGATGGTGGGCAAACTAAGGCCGGAATGTGAGTCATCAGGGGGTCTCCCCAATCCACATTCCTCCTTCATTCATCCCGCTTTCATCAGACATATTTCTCGTCTTCACAGAGCTGCGAGATCGCTTTGGAGCCACCTATCGCCTGTGGCTGGGTCCCCAACTTTGGGTATTCCTTCACTCGGCGGAGGAGACGCGGCAGGCCCTTCATGATCCCTCGCTCCGCAAGGCGGAGACCTTCCTCCAGCTGGAACCGCTCATCGGGAACGGACTGCTCATCAGCCATGGAGCCCATTGGACCCGGCAGCGTCGCCTCCTAACTCCCGCCTTCCAGCCGCAACTTCTGCGCAGCTTTGGTCCCCATTTGGCGGGACATGTGGATCGCCTGGTCCAACGACTGGCGGAAACGAAGGGAGCCTTTCTAGAGGTCACCGATCCACTATTCGCCTGCCTTCTAGACGCCATCGTGGGTGAGTTCCGAAACCTTCTCTAAAAATATAAACAGAACACTTGTGGCTTAAAGTTTCCAAATAAGGTCATATTGTTAGGATTTTTTTTATTCTACATTTTTATGAGTTCTTAAAACAGGACTTTTCATTTTATATATATATATAATATTATATTTATATATTTCAAATTTCAATAGAAACCAAATAGCTGTTGTTTTAAGCTTCCAAATAATGTTGAATTGTTAGGATTTGTTATATTCTACATTTTTATGGGTTAACATAAGTATACAAAGCAAAAATGGCTTTCTGAAAATATAACTTTTTATTATTTTTATATTTAAAATTATATTAATATATTTCAGATTTCAATTGAAACCAAATACTTGTTCAAAGTTTCGAAATTGTGTTAGATTGTTAGAACCTTTTATATTTTAAATCAGCACAAGTTGATATAAGTATACAAAGCAATAATGGCTTTCTAAAACTTGAAGTTTTCATTATATTTAAAATTAATATTATATTTATATATTTCAGATTTCAATAGAAACCAAATATTTGTTGTTCAAAGTTTCGAATTTGTGTTAGATTGTTAGAACCTTTTATATTCTAAATTAGCATAAGTTAATATAATAATACAATGAAATATTGGCTTCTTAAGCCACTCATGGAAATATTTCCCTTTATATTTACTATTATATCATTGTAATATAGACACCTCCATGGGTGCCCAGTTGGATACCCAGTCAACGGATCACTCGCCCATCATCAATGCCTTTCATCTCAGCAGCATGTTGCTATTCAAACGCATGATCAATCCGCTCCTGGCCTCCGATTGGATCTTTCATCGCACCCAACTCTGGCGGGATCTCAGGGAGCAGCTCCAGGTGATCCACTCGCTAATGGAGTCGGTGATCGAACAGCGCGCCCAAGAGCTGGAGAAGAAGGGGGAACCTCCCAAAGGAAGGGCGCACAATCTCCTGGACACGCTCCTTTTGGCCAGATTCGAGGGTCAGCCCCTGAGCAGGAGGGAAATTAGGGACGAGGTCAACACCTTTGTGTTTGCGGTGGGTTCGAATATCAAATAACCTACGAAAAGAAAAATAAAAAAAATTGGTTATTTAACTTTTTTGATAGAATTAGTCTTATAATTATAATCTTAAAACTAATTGCTTACCAAAATTTCTCTTAATTTTAACTATAACTTCATAGTTGGATTTTTCCTTTTAAATGACAACATTTTAAATATTATTTTGAAAAATCTGTTATTTCAGGGTGTTGACACGACGACGGCATCCATGTCATTTGTTCTCTATGCCCTCGCAAAATATCCCGAAACGCAGTCCCGTCTCCTGAAAGAGCTGCAGGAGCTACCGATGGATGGATCCTGCGACCTGGACACCCTCAATGAGCTGCCCTATCTGGATGCTCTGATCAAGGAGGTGCTGCGTCTATATACCATTGTGCCCACCACTGGACGACAGACAACGCAAACCACGGTGATCGGAGGACGAAGATATTGTGCCGGGGTCACGCTGTGGATCAACATGTATGGATTGGCGCACGATGAGCTCTACTATCCAGATCCGTATGCCTTCAAACCGGAGCGGTGGTTGGAGGATGGCGGTTCTGCCCCACCACCCGCATTCAGCTATATTCCCTTCTCGGGCGGTCCACATGTCTGCATCGGGAGACGGTACTCGCTGCTCTTGATGAAACTGCTCACCGCCCGACTCGTCAGGGAATTCAATTTGAAACTGAGTCCGGAGCAGGCTCCGCTCAAGCTGCAGGCCCAAATGGTGCTGAAGGCCCAACAGGGCATACATGTGGCATTTATGAAACGATAAAAACAAGGATTTTGTATACTCTCGTTAAAAATTAAAAAACAAACTTTCTTTCATAAGAAAGCCAAACGAATTTTTAAATACGTATATTTTTTACCCTAGCAGAGGGTATTATAATTTTGGTCAGAGGTTTGTAACCCAGTGAAGGAGACGTTTCCGACGTTTCCATAAAGTATAGATATTCTTGATCAGGATCAATGGGGAGTCGATGTAGCCATGTACGTCTGTATGTCTGTTTCAATACCATTTGCGAGCGCAGTTTAAAAGCTAGCAATTTAAACTTTTACAGTCGTCCTAAAACATGTGTATGTTTTGAAAGCGCCCTATTCAGACGTCTATATCCTAGAGCTCCCAAAGGAACAATCGGACTTAACTTGCAAGAATTCAAGATATTTCAAGCAGTGTAAAAGCTATTGACATAAATCTTTCCAAATCGTAGTTTTTTGTCCATACCTTGATCACTCTATACGTCTATATCCTATAGCTCCCATTGGAACAATAAAGTAAACAATTAAAAATATATATATTTTTGTTTATTAATTCATGTTGCTATTGTAATTTTAATTCTTGAAATTCTTGTGTAAAAAAGTGTATCCTACATATGTTTAAAACATAAAAAACACAGTGTCAGAATTATATGTTGAACTGAAAAATGCACGGTTTTCTAGAGTATAAGAATTCATATATGCTGAAATGCTTAAAACTAACATATAAGATATCGTGGCCCATATTGTTTTTTGATTTTCCTTTCGACTCGTTAATGTTAGTGAAATGTAATTTTCATTTGTGTTAAAAACACAGTGTGTAAAAAACACGTCGTGTTAATAACACAGTGTGTAAAAAATACAAGTGAGCTGTGTGTGTTAACAATTATTTTTCTCATTTCAACACTTTTGTATTTGACACACATTTCAAAAATTTTGCTCACATTGTAAAATACAATTATTCATGTTTTTAACATGTGTGTCAATTTCCGAACACCGCTTTTTCATTGGGATCGCGATATTACGGGATAGCGACATATCTCCGCTGTCATATCTCCGCCCAGTGCATTTCGTTGTCGCGATTTATTTTTTATTATTTATACGACCCCCGTTAATCAACGCGGAGTTCTGTCCTCTAAAAACGACGGTAGTCCTGCAAGTTGTCGTTCGATCTTATCCAATTTGTTGGCTTGGTCTTTTAAATTGAGTGGATGCAGGGCCGCATGAACAAAGGACCCACACTGGGTGGGGGCATCCATGAGTATACAAACCAAACAACTGCCCTGCGATTCGTCCTGGGATCTTGCCACTCCACACAAGTTGAGTGCCAAAATGGCAAAGCAAACATTAATTACTGAGTTTGACATTTTAAGAGCTTAAAACTGCTGGAATTATTTGGTGACTTTTGAAGAGCCTTCAGTTGCGCTGCTACCGCTTACCACAAGTTCCACAAAATTCTTATCGAGCCATAATATATAAATACATTTATTTTATATTTCTATGTGTTTCCGGATTTTGTGATAATTTATTATCAGTTTCGCGTTGTTGCAAATATGTACATATTTTTTAAAATTCATACACGGTTTAAAAGGATTTCACAATTAATTCAAGCATAATTCATATAAGATTTGGTTGAAATTGTTCTCAGATTATTTTATATTTATTTAATGTGAATATTTCAATAACATAGTATAAATGTTTCAATAAAGTAGTGATTATATTTCAATATAAACATTTTTAAACATACTTATTCATTGGGTTTGCGATATTACTCCCATAATGAATACACAATGGATATTATTCATATTTCTGATAGCTTTGAAGATCGTTGTAAGTCATTGACTTGCCTAACATATATTTAGTTTTTTTCGCAAATAAAATAATAGACAACATTACAAGTATTAGTTCCCATTATACCGTTGTTCAAGTAAACGCAATCCGTCCTTAGAGCATTTTTTGGTTCCCCAGTACCCCACTTCAGATACGGGTTCCCAGAGACATCGGAAGTGAACGTCCCCTCATTATTCCTATCATTGTATTTCAGCCAGTAATGATAACCTTTATCTAACTTCGCATTAATGGCATTCAGTTCCTTGCGGCTTTGTATTGATGCTAGAGTACCACCTCGGTAATTACAGTAGGCTCTTGCAGCGGTCCAGCGTAACTTTATATGCTCTACGATCAGAAACTGTCTAGATCCGATCGACTTATACGACGGTGGCTTCTGATCCCTCATAAAGGATATTTGTTCTTTTATGAAAAGTGCATCAATTTCCGAAGCCTTTTTCATCTCTATCTGCTCCTTCTTGATGCCGGTCAGTTGATTTTGAAGTTCTTTCATCTGGTTTAGAATCGATCCTTCGATCACATCCAACTTTTTAGCTAGGTCCTTTTCAGTCCGGTAAATGTTGTTCACGTTCAGGGAATTTATAGCATGAAGTCCTACAGGATCTGAAAAACTCTCCTCCGATTCGTACTGAGATCTTGCCACTCCACATAAATTGATTGCAAAAATGGCAAAGCAAATATAAATTACTGGGTTTGACATTTTAAGAGCTTAAAACTGCTGCAGTCGAATGTTTGGGACGAACTGATTTTGTACTTATTTGGTGACTTTGGAGGAGCCTTCTGTTGCGCTGCTCATCGTTTACCAAGAGTTCCAGAAAAGTCTTATCGAGGTTATAGGTGAGTCATTCTCAATGACTAATATATATATATATATATATATCTATATTTTTATGTCTCACAACTTGGATTTGGAACGTCTTGACATTCCGGATATTGTTATAATTATTTACAGCTTCGCGTTGTGACTAATGTATTCCATTTTGAACTTTTTAATACCCTTGCAGGGTTTCCGACCCCATAAAGTATATATTCTTGATCAGGATCAATAGGGGAGTCGATAAAGCCATGTCCGTCTGTTTTAATACCTTCTGAAACCTTCACAGTCGTCCTAAAATATGTGTACGCAGATCAATTTTAAAAAGCAAACTGATCGGACATAGGAACAATCGGATAATTCCTAGCTCCCATAGGAGTAATAGGGTGAAATCGGTTAAAATGTGATGTTTTTTAGGATATATCGCGCAATGTAAAAGCCATAGTTTTAAAAATATAAAATCATAAAATATTTTCTTCTTTATAAATTCATGTAAATAATCTAGTCAAATTTTAATTGGTGAAATCTGCAAGGATATTAAGACTTTGTCTTGCCAAAGTTAGCTTCCGTTCTCGTTAAGCTTACATTACTGTAATCGACATGGATCTACTCATCATCTACATACATATGTACTTGTAGAGTAAAGTATTAAATTCGTAAAAAAAGGTAACGTAAAAAGGGAACACTGATATTAATTTAAAATATAAATATATACACTTTTACAACTTTAGGTAATTTTAAGGATCTTAAACTTTGATGTTAATATGAACTAGTTCTTCATTAAATTAAATTACGCTTAAAGTAAATAAACATACATACATACATATGTAACTATCATCGAAACTTACACTTTCTACATACTTTGATTTTTAAATTAATCATGCATTTGATTATGTTTTGCATTAAATATTATGTTTTTATAAAAGGTATAAAATCCATAAAATTTTTAATGTCTTATATACTAGAAAATTATTTGAGGCTTTATATAGTTAGATAACTATATTTTCGAATAAATACGTACCTGTAGTTCCAAGTGTAGAGTCAGTATCTTGACATACGTAAGCACAATCCTTATTCCGAGAACTGAGCCAATTCCCAAGAATGGAGCTAATTCCTTGGAAAAAGTAAGCTTTCCCGCTAAATGCCTGCTGCGCCTGCTCGTGACAATTTAATAGCCAAATTTCAGCTCCTTTTGGCTATTTTCCCGCCAGCCCAACTGCTATCGATAGCCGTGTGACGGCCGTGAGGCGCAGCGTTGCTGGCGCCGATAACATGTGCTGCCGTTATCGTTTTTTTTGACAGCTGCACGGGCTGCTGCATGTGTATGTGTGTGTGAAAATATTAATTGATACCTGGCGACGATGCAGTGCCGTGTGAAATACGTCAGAGCTGTTTGTTTTTAAATTCACACGATTTAAGATCTGATTTAACAAAATTTGTGTTTTCGGCATACACGATTGCTGGGCTAGCCAAAAGGCGACGGGAAACGCACACACCGACAGCTTAAAAGCGGACGAAAAACGCACACACCCATACAAATGCCATAAATTGAAGTGTATTTGTAATATTGTATTGTTGGAAAGAAAGCAAGCAGCATACGCATACCGCAAAAAAATACGAAGAGGAGGAAAATAAGTTTTTGCCAGAGCTTCAGCTTCAGTTTCAGTTTTAGTTCGGTACAACGGCACGGTTTTCGATTTAAACGCCCTCGCCTTGCCGCCGCCCGCCCACCAGCACCAGTATCCTCCACCCAGCGCCCACCCCCGATTTTTGAAACGGGAGCGGAGAGCGAGCGGGCCGAAAATATATTTATTTATATTTATTGACAGCAAGCACGGTTAGCAAGGTAAGCTTCATACACACACATAGGTACATACATACATATGTGCGAAAAAAGAGGAGAAGAAAAAATTGCATGTGCTTGTGCGTTGTGTGTGCGTGTGGGAAGAAGAAGCGGCGACGCATTTAAAGCTGCTGCTGCTTCTTCTTCCTCTGCCGCTGGCCGCAACAAATTGCATAAAACAAAAAAAAAAGAACACAACTTTTCATCCAGTCATTGTACAAAACAACAACAACAAGAAAAGGCTGAACATTATGCATGTGGGGTTGGCTGTGTGTGGGTGTGCATTTTGACATTTGTTTGTTACAGAATTTGTTTTCCAGCCCAGCGTTGCAAGCGAGAGAGAGCGATAGTGGGAAGGAAGGAAGGAAGGAAAGAGAGAGGATTTCCAATTTCCCACTTGCCATTTCAGCACCATTCAAGTGCCGAGTAAAATGGAAATAGAAACAGACCAGTCTATCGAAGCCATGGACACCCAGGACACCCAAGAGGTTGAGATCCTCACCAGTGACCTCCAGCAGCAGCAGCAGCAGCAGCAACTACAGACAGCGCAGCAGAATTCGCCGCCACAGCTGCCCAAATTCAAGAATCTTATCCAGCCACAACTGCACGCCGTCGGCGCAGTCACCCAGTTGCCCAGCGAGAACGGCAATGTGCCGCCCCAGCAGCTGCTGGCCGACAGCAGCTCCACATCGTTTGGCCAGGAGGCCGAGGCCATGGGCATGGACGAGGAGTCCAAGGAGGATCAGTTCCGCTCGGAGACCACCTTCTCCTTCACCGTCGAGAATGTGGGCCAACTGAAGTCGCAGAGGCTATCGCCGCCCGTCTATGTGCGCATGCTGCCCTGGAAGATCATGGTCATACCGAATGACCGGGCGCTGGGCTTCTTCCTGCAGTGCAACGGGGAGAACGACTCGCCCACCTGGTCGTGCAATGCCATTGCCGAGCTGCGGTTGAAGTGCCACAAGCCGGAGGCACAGCCCTTCACCCGGGCCCGCATCAAGCATCTGTTCTACTCGAAGGAGAACGACTACGGCTACTCGAACTTCATCACCTGGCAGGAGCTGCAGGATGCCGAGAAGAGCTATGTGCATAATAATAGCATCACCCTGGAGGTCCATGTCATTGCCGATGCCCCGCACGGCGTTTTGTGGGACTCGAAGAAGCATACCGGCTATGTGGGTCTGAAGAATCAGGGCGCCACCTGCTACATGAACTCCCTGCTGCAGACACTGTACTTCACCAACTCCCTGCGGCTGTCCGTCTATCGCATACCCACGGAGGCGGATGATAGCACCAAGTCGGTGGGTCTGTCGCTGCAGCGGGTCTTCCACGAACTGCAGTTCGGCGACCGTCCCGTCGGCACCAAGAAGCTAACCAAGTCCTTTGGCTGGGAGACGCTCGACTCGTTCATGCAGCACGACGTCCAGGAGTTTCTGCGCGTGCTCCTGGACAAGCTGGAGTCGAAGATGAAGGGCACCACGTTGGAGGGCACCATTCCGGGGCTGTTCGAGGGCAAGATGTCGTCGTATATCAAGTGCAAGAACGTCGACTACAACAGCACGCGCTACGAGACGTTCTACGACATTCAGCTGAATATCAAGGACAAGAAGAACATCTACGAGTCCTTCCAGGATTACGTGGCCTCCGAGACCCTGGAGGGCGACAACAAGTACGATGCTGGTGTGCACGGCCTTCAGGTGAGATTATTGTGCTGATTATTGGAAAATTTAGAGACCTGTTAATTGTAATTTCTGTCTGCTCGCAGGAGGCCAGCAAGGGCGTCATCTTCACATCATTCCCGCCCGTTCTGCATCTCCATCTGATGCGTTTCCAGTACGATCCCATCACGGACAGCTCGATCAAGTACAACGATCGCTTCGAGTTCTACGAGCAGATCAATCTGGATCGCTATCTGGCCGAGAGCGAGAAAACGTCGGCGGACTACGTCCTGCACGCGGTGCTGGTTCACTCCGGCGACAACCACGGCGGCCACTACGTGGTCTTCATCAATCCCAAGGCCGACGGCCGTTGGTTCAAGTTCGACGACGACGTCGTCTCCAGTTGCCGCAAGCAGGAGGCCATCGAACAGAACTACGGCGGCATGGACGACGAGATCTCGTTCCATGCCAAGTGCAGCAACGCCTACATGCTGGTCTACATCCGCCAGTCGGAGCTGGAGCGTGTTTTGGGCGACATACCGGAGAACGAGATCTCGAGCGATCTGGTGGAGCGGCTGGACCTGGAGAAGCGCATCGAGATGGCGCGCCGCAAGGAGCGCAGCGAGGCCAATCTCTATGTCTCCGTGCACGTGATCCTCGAGGAGTACTTCGAGGACCAGCACAAGCGGCGGCTCTTCGATCTGGAGAAGGCCCATCCGCGGATCTTCAGGATCAAGCAAAATCAGACCGTCGACGAGCTGGTCGACATGTTTGTCAAGGGCTTCGGCGTGACGCGCGACCGGATGCGCATCTGGAACATGTGCACCGCCCAGACGCAAAAGTTCTTGCACTTTGACTTCGAGGCGGAGGCGTCGCGCACCATCGAGCAGATACCGACGTCCCAGAAGCCCTGGGTCATCTGGCTGGAGCTGGCCTGGCCGAATGTGCCCGGTCCCCTGCCGTCGTTCAATCCCAAAACCGAAGTCTTGCTGTTCCTCAAGTACTACGATGCGCGGAACAAGCGGCTCAACTACATCGGATGCACCCAGCAGCCGCATAGCCGCCGGCTGAGCGATCTGGTGCCCGAGGTCAACCGGAAGCTGGGCTTCGATCCGGAAACCGAGCTGACCATCTACGACGAGTACGCCGACAAGAAGCTGGTCAATCTGGGCGAGCCCATTGAGAGCGTGCTCTTCATACCGCAGGACCACCTGCAGGGCCACATCCTCATCTTCGAGCGCGAGAGCGTCGACGCCAAGCTGGACCTGCCCACGGTGGAGGACTACTTCCTCGATCTCGTCTACCGCATCGAGATCATCTTCAGCGACAAGTGCAACCCCAATGAGCCGGACTTCACGCTGGAGCTGTCCAATCGCTACAACTACGAGCAGCTCACCAACGCGGTGGCCGAGCGCCTGAACACCGATCCCCAGAAGCTGCAGTTCTTCATGTGCATCAACAACTACAAGGAGACGGCGGGCAATGCGGTGCCCTATACGTTCAAGGTGAGAGCAGATCATTGAATTATGCCTACAGTTTGTGGAAATGGGTTTATTCTTGTATATTTGTAAACACATCCAAGGGTTTCAAGCTAAGTTTCAACTTAAAATTAAGCCATTTCCTTTAAATTTCATATTTATTAACTGCAATTAGTTAGGAATTTAAATAATATATATTAAAAATACCTAAAGTTTGTAGAAATAGGTTTTTTTGTTGCATATTCGTAAACACATCCAAGGGCTTCAAGCCAAGTGCCACTTGAAATTAAGCTGCAATTAGTTAGGATTTAAATAATATATATGAAATATACCTTAAGTTTGTAGAAATAAGTTTTAAGTGATTAACACTTAAAGTATTCGATTTATTTGTAAACACATCCAAGGGCTTTATTTATATTTCATATTTATTAAGTGCAATTAGTTAGGAATTTAAACAATATATATGAAATATACCTTAAGTTTGTAGATATACGTTTTAAGTGATTAACTTTTGAAGTATTCGATTTATTTGGGAACACATCCAAGGGGTTCCAGCCAAGTGCAACTTAAAATAAAGCCATTTCATTTATATTTCATAAATATTAACTGCAATAAGTTAGAAACTTAAATAATATATATTAAAAATATCTAAAGTTTGTTGAAATAGGTTTTTTTTATATTTAAGCCAAGTGTAAATTAAAATAAAGCCATTTTATTTATGTTTCATATTTATTAAGTGCAATTAGTTAGGAATTTAAATAATATATATTAAAAATATCTAAAGTTTGTAGAAAAGGTTTTTTTTTAATATTTGTAAACACATTCAAGGGCTTCAAGCCAAGTGTGAATTAAAATAAAGCTATTTCATTTATATTTCATATTTATTAACTGCAATTAGTTAGGAATTTAAATAATATATATGAAATATACCTTAAGTTTGTAGAAATAAGTTTTAAGTGATTAACACTTGAAGTATTCGATTTATTTGTAAACACATCCAAGGGCTTTATTTATATTTCATATTTATTAAGTGCAATTAGTTAGAAATTTAAACAATTTATATGAAATATACCTTAAGTTTGTAGATATACGTTTTAAGTGATTAACTTTTGAAGTATTCGATTTATTTGGGAACACATCCAAGGGGTTCCAGCCAAGTGTAACTTAAAATAAAGCCATTTCATTTATATTTCATATTTATTAATTGCAATAAGTTAGACATTTTAGATAATATATATGAAAAGTAGTCGTTATACATCCAATTAATAATCATTGTTGGTATTTCTCATTGCATTTTAGCTCTTCTTTCCACAAAAATTTAGTTATCTTTATAAATGAAGCTAAAGAACAACTTTCTAAAAGGCTAAATTTATATATTTTCTAGGGCACCATCAAGGACCTGGTGTCGTACACCAAACAGAGCACGCCCAAGCGGATCTTCTACCAGCGCCTCTCGCTCAGCATCCACGAGCTGGACAACAAGAAGCAGTTCAAGTGCGTCTGGGTGAGCGGCGACCTGAAGGACGAGAAGGAGCTGGTGCTGTACCCGAACAAGAACGACACGGTGAAGGGCCTGCTGGAGGAGGCGGCCAAGAAGATAACGTTCGCGGAGAACAGCCGCCGCAAGCTGCGCCTGATGAAGGTCAGCAACCACAAGATCGTGGCGGTCTGCAAGGACGACATACCGCTGGACACGCTGCTGAAGACCAGCGAGTCGATCACGACCACGCAGGGCGCCCAGAAGACTTATCGCATCGAGGAGGTGCCGGCGGAGGAGATGCAGCTGGCGGAGAACGAGTTCCTCATCCCAGTGGCGCACTTCAGCAAGGAGCTGTACAACTCGTTCGGCGTGCCCTTCCTCACCAAGGCGCGCCAGGGTGAGCCGTACGGCGCACTGAAGCAGCGCATCCAGCGGCGCCTGAATGTGCCCGACAAGGAGTGGGAGAACTACAAGTTCTCCGTCATCACCATGGGCCACAATTCGGATGTGAACGACAACACGCCCGTCGACCTGGAGGTCTATCGCTCCTGGACCACCGGCCAGCTGCCCTTCTTCGGCCTGGATCACATCAACAAGTCGCGCAAGCGCAGCTCGCTCAACTTTTCCGAGAAGGCCATCAAGATTTACAACTAGGGGGTTTCGTTAGAGGAGCAGCAGCAGCAGCAGCAGAAGTCTGTTATTTTTTTTGTTGTCGGAAAAGAAGGGGTCAAAGGATTTAAGGATCGCTCTCTCGCCGGCAGGCTAAGCTAAATGTGGTTTCCCCAGGCTCAACAAGCTCAACGTGCGGACGAGAGAACGACCCCGGGAAGTATTGTGAAATGGAACAACGGCAAAAGGAATGGATGATGGATGATTGGCGGCCAAAAGTCCACCCAAATTGTAACAGTGAAGCAGCTCTCGACGTCGCATTTCCACGCACCTTCGTTGGAGCCCCGATCACACACACGGAAAAAAAAAAACAAAGAAGAACTTACCCCGCTTAATTTAAATACAAACTGTTTATTTTTTTGTAATCTAACCGCTAAGTCAAATGTAGTTATTTATTAACCCAGCAGAACTGGCCACCAGCTCCTTCCCGATTTCTATATGCGGTTTACGTTTCCGTTTCCGCATGCCACAAATCCTGACCAGAGTATCAACTTTCGCATCGAGTCCAGTCACCCAGAGTTCTACTGACTTATCGCTTGAACTAAAGTTAAAGTAACTTCAATTTAGGCTTAGGCTTTTACGTGTGTGTGTATTTTTTATGCTATAATATTCTTAATCGATAATTGTTTAATCGCAGGCAGAAGTGAATTCGAAATGAAGCGAATCGGTTACTTTTTGTCTAAATGTAAATAAGTGTTCGTTGCAAGTTGCCCATTAAAAAACACATCAAAAAGTGAAGGGCGAAACAGAAAAACAAAAAACAAAAAACCCAAAACAAGAAAACAAAGGAAGAACCTAAACTAAACAAAACCAACAAAAGATACATATATATATATAAATATAAAATATACGAGAGAGAGAGCTGTAAACAAATAAACGCAACTAAGTAACAAGTATAACTTTAAACAAGGAAGAAACAAACGATTTAAACAAAAAGTCATCAAGTTGCGCTAAACGAGACAAAGAAAGGGACGGATACAGATACAGTTGATATATTCGAGCAGCAGATCGAAAGAGACGGAAGACGGAGATGAAAAATATAAGATTTGTTTCAAACAATTATTTGTGATTTTTAAACATGAAATGATAAAAATGTATGCAAAGGACTAGACAACATAATATTAAATAATAAATTACTATAATACACAGTTTAGTGCTTTTTCTTTGTTAACTATAGCGAAAAAACCGAGATCCGATTCAAAAGCAAAACAAAACAAAACAAAAACCAATCAAATGAGAAGAGCCCACAACAAAAAATATTTTAATAATATATTACTATATGCTATTATTATTTATGCAGCAAATAATTCAAATTATTTATGTGTACAAAAAAAAAGAAAACCAACAAAAAACGAATAAAATACCAAGAATTCAACTGAAATGTGTGCATTTCATTTCATTTCTTCTTGGGCCTGGAAACTTACATTTTTGTGTTTTTGATTTATAAAAGAAGTCATATATGTTTATATAAATATGTATATTATTTACATGTCTAGTTGAAGTTTTTCGATTTGAAAACCTTAGTCTAACCTTTTTTTATTGGCTATATAAAGTTAACCTCTTACTCAAAACGGTGTTCTATATTTTCAATGTATTATATCAGTAATGGTTGAGTTTATTTCATATTTTTGCGTGGGGAAATATATATAAATTATAGAAGAAACATTTATTAAATTGATAATTGTACGTTATTTCAAATAATTAAAGTCGAGGTATTTTGTTGGAACTCATAAAATTTAGTAAATTTAGCCTAGGAGTAGATCTCTAATGATTTTCAACATAATCATAATTTTAGATGATCTAAAAAGTTGATAAACAATCTTTTACCTTGAAATGTAAGATTACTCAGATCTAAATAAATTTACCCGTACTCATGAAAAACGTTGCAAGTCGAGAGCGTCTTTAAAGTATTTGTTTAATGAAATCGTTTGGAAAATCATAGTCTACGGTAGCTTAGAAACTAGGTGCCTAGAATTTGCGTCGCTTGAGCAGCTCGGGCCGCCAGTTAACCGGGTGCGACTCCTCGCTGGCCTCGTCGTCCTCCTTGTACACCTTGATCGTCTTGTCCGCCTCGGCGGTGATTAGCCTGGTGCCCGATTGGTCGAAGCACATGGCGAATATGCCCGCCTCGCTGTCCATGGAGCCCGGCTGGACGGGCGCCTGGAAGCGCTGGAAATTGTAGCCGGTGCGCCAGTCCCAGAAGAACATGGTGCCGTTGTCGCCGCCCGAAACGAGGACGCCATCATTGTTGGCCGCCATGCAGTTGACAATGGCCGTGTGGCCGGAGATGTTCTGCACAAAGTTGCCCTCCGGACAGCGCCACTGCTTGATGTTGTCCGGCGAGGCGGAGGCGAACATGTAGAGCGACGGATGCAGGACGATGCTGCGCACGGATTTCTTGTGGTTGGTCAGCGTGCAGACGCTCTTGCCGGCGGCCAAATCCCACAGCCGCACGGTGGAGTCGTGGGAGCCGGTGATGATCTGGGGATTCGTGGCCTGGGCAACCACGCTGGCCACCGTGTTCGTGTGGCCCGTCAGCGTGTGCACATTCGCCTTGGTCCGCATGTCCCAGATGCGCGCCGTGGAGTCGCGGCCCGAGGTGGCCAGCACATCGATGGTGGGATGCAGGGCCAGCGAGTAGACGGCGGACAGATGGCCGTGGTAGTGTCGTATCACCTTGTTGTACTCCAGATCCCAGCACTTGACCTGCCGATCCTCGCCGCAGCTGAACAGATACGGATGCTTCGAGCTGACGGCCACGCCGCGCACCGTGCTCACATGGCCGGTGAGCGATAGCTTCAGCTTGCCGCTGGCCAGGTCCCAGATCTTGATGACCCGATCGCCGGCCCCCGTGGCGAACCACTCGTTGCCCGGCTCCACGGCTATGCAGCGCACCCAGCCCAAATGGCCGGAGATGACGCGCGACAGCTTCCAGGGGGCGTGCCACTTGGGCTTCGGTATGGTCGGCGCCTTCTTGGGTATCAGCTGCAGATTGCTGGCGCCGCCATTGGCGCCCTTGTCCCCGGAATTGCCGGCCAGCGAGGCGCGCACCAGGGATGTGTGTGTGCCGGTGACCAGCGGTGCTGTCTTCTCCGTTATCCGGCCGCCACCGGGATTGTACTTGACCACGGCGCTGGATGAACCTTCGGGTGAACCTTCTGTGATGGCCAATAGCTTGTCGCCCGGCATTTGGCCGCCGGCTCCCTTCCTCGCCTCCCCCATCTTCACCGCCTTGTCCAGAACCAGTCCATAGCTGTCCTTGGCCTTGATGGACCGCCGCAGCTTCTCCCTGTGCCGAGAAATCCAAGGATTAGCTGGGGGAATCTTCGGGATCCCGGATACTCACAGTCGCTCGTCGATCTCCGGCAGATTTCCCTGGTTCGAGACGAACAGGTCGTGGGTGCGCTTCAGGGAACGGAATATCAGGGTGTGCACGCTGTGCTTTTGCACATCCTCCATGGCAGTTGGCTGTTATTTGCTTGTTTATTTGCTAAAATAGATTAAAAAATGCGGCTTTTGCGTTTGGCCACCAAACAGCCATTCACAGTGGTCTGTCTATCGGTTATCGACATTCGCCAAAGCCGGCCAGTGCTGTCGCCTAGCGGTTTTCTAGCCCAATGGAGAGTGTTGACATTTAGCTAATTTCAAGCCAATTACTTCGTTGAAAAAGAATTTTACTTTTATTTAAAGTTAATCAAGGAAATCCCTTCTTTAAATGCTTCAAAATACCTTTTCAGGATTCATCCTATATGATCGAAAAACGCCAAAAAAAAAATAATTTCTTATATATCTGCCCTTAGCCCCCAAAAAAGATAACAAACAAATGGGATGTCCTTTTTGAAGCACATTTCTGTTTTTTGTTTTTGTGTTGTTTTGTTTGTGTATTTTTTGTTTTCTCTTTATTATTAGTTTGCGGGAACCGGCGATCCAGATGCAAGAGATGAGGACGTGGGAGACACCGATGGTGACGAGGTGCTGGCAGCAGCTCCGCTTTCTGGAACCGGCGATGGCCTCGTATTGAAGAACTGTTTGATCTGGAGATGCGAAAGGATAAGGTGATTAGCTTTCTAATTGGTACAAACAGCTCACTTCTATAATTTGTAAATTTTGTTCTAGAATTTAGATTTAAAAACCGCATAACTTATCGCTGTTTCCAAAGTCATTTTATAATCATAACCTAAACCGCAGGCTTGCCAAAGGACGCTGGCTGTGTTAAAAATGTCCCTTAATTTTAATATTTATTGATTAAATTTTTTGAAAAAACTAAATATAATTCCAAAGAATTTGTTTTAAATCTATACGATTTTGAGCCTTTTTCTTATTCCGTAAAATTAATAAAAAGCTTCGATGCATAGAAAATAATTTGAAACCCAGATTGTACTGCTTAGCTTAACTTTAAAGGGTTCTTGAGTATCTCAACCGAAGTTCATCATAACCTAAACCAATATTTCTTTAAAAAATTCCTTCTAAGCTTTGTTAAAAATTCCCCTTAATTTTAACATCTAGTGATTATAATTTAAAAAAAAAACTAAATATAATTCCGAAGAAATTGTTTCAAATCTATGCGATTTTGAACCTTATTCTTATTCCGTAAAATTTAAATTTCGCTGCCTAGAAAATAATTTGAAACCCAGATCGTGTTTAGCTAAACTTTAAAGGGTTCTTGACTATCTCAACCGAAGTTCTGGGTTTGCAACTACTTACGATGCGCTTGATGTAGTTGCACGAAGTTTCGTTGTTCGAGCTGGACACCACGTTGTCCACTCGGTACGGCGGCGAGATGGTGACTTCGTTGAGGATCTGTATGTTAAGTCCTTGCCAGGAGACTTCATTGTACTGTACCATAAGAAAGGGAAATAAATATAGTTATTCGGTGAGTTCGAGCGGTCATTACCCCGTATTGTTTGGCTATCGCTCTATAAAGCTCTTGTGCCTCTGGACTGACATCTGCGTTCTTGGACTTCAAGTAGTCTTGTCTTCGCTCTACTGTTTTTCGCAGGCGCATTTTCACCTGTATGCCGTGTGGGAGAAAATTTAGATGTGCTTTCGGTATGGAAAGAGTATTCACTGCCTACCTGTTCCAGGTTGAGCTTTTGCGGATCGTCAAAGTTGCCATTGCACTCCTTGACCACCTGCACGTTGCTGCACAGCGAGAGGTTCATCGCGTAGATATCACTCAGCTCCTCCGTGGACTTGGATCGGCATTCTATATGGCAAAAGAAAGGCGAGAAGAGGGGCAGGGCATAGACAGTCGATGTACGGAGAACCAAGTAGGCAGGTAAATTGGATTAATTTATGCGGCTTATAATAAAATGTTTAAATGTTTATGAAATAATTATGAAAATAAATAAAGATAAAATTAGTGCACATTAATCATTATAAAAATCAATTGCATCGATAAAAAATAATCCAAAAATGATGAAATAATAATAAAGTTTAGCTCAATATATGTTAAATATTAGAATTGGTGATAATTATTCGTTATAATCAATGGGATCGAAAAAACATGTATTTAAGTTTAGTGCAACATAATCCAAAAATGATGAAATAATAATAGTAGCTAGGTTTATCCTTAGTTTGTTGTTTTCAGCAAAAAACCTAAAGAAATGTATAATTCTTTGGTTTATAACAAAGTTAGGCACTCTGGATATTTTAGTGATAAATTAAAGGGGAATTCAGTGATATGTGGATAGGTGAAAATGATCCCTAAACGTTATATAAAGCGGGGGGAAAGTGGCCAGGGGGCACTTTCACCTGGCTAGCAGGTGTGCCGGTGTCCAGCGGGGTATTTCTAGCTTATTAACAGTTTCTTTTTCAAAAAGGATACTCAGGATAAGCATCTTTGTGTTGTGATCGAAGGCCAGCACCTCGCCCTCCACCTCCTCGTTGAAACAGGTCGTACAGACGACTGTGGATCCGATGCTGAAGCAGTCGTTCACTGCATTCACTGCGCTCGCAGCGGCAGCGGCCATTTTTAATTGCTGGATAAGATTGGCCAACTGGAAAAGTGCACCCACAATCTGTGTGGATATGTGGCTATAGATGTAGATGTGTGTGTGTGTGTTTTCGGGATGCCGATCTGGATTTCCGATGTTCCGCTTGTTTACACAACGTTGCACAAACAAACGATGTCTCAAGTTGCTGGGCCAGGGATTCGGATTCGGATTCGCGATTTCTGGAAAGGATTTCACTTGCTCTCTCGCTCGCTCTCTCTCTCGCGCCGTCTGTCTATCTCGATGTCGCTCTCTCGCTTTCACTTGAACTGTTCACCGCTCCACTGCAATGCAAATGTCGATTCCTGGCGATCTGTGGTCGAGATCCTGCTCCTGCTCCTGCGACTGATCCAGTTGACTTGGCCAAAAACTCGCTAATTACTCGGTCAGCTGGCCTGCGACGGTCTGCGTTGGCGCCTCTTGCGGTTCGGTAATTGAAAAGTTGGGAAAATATGCGAAAAATTTATTGGTCAACACACGAAACAACAGCCAAAAGGGGGCAGCAGAAAAACGCAGTGTTGCACATGCCGCGCAGCGATAGGTTCGATAGTCATCGATTCGCGGCGTCTGGCAACGCTAGGGATGAGAATTTTCACCAGTTATTTAACGGAACTTTTAATTTGAATGTATATTTAGGGCTAAAAAGTATTGGTAATTAGACATACTTATAATACGCTACCATGTTTAGGTTTTAAAATGTTAGTATTGTTTAGTTTATATACCCAAATTTAATTTTTGATTACTTAATTAATTATAAATATTAAATTGTTTAAAAAACAAATAAAAATAATATTGCTATCGTTTTGAGACCTTTCGACATTGTTGCCCTTTCAAGCGACGGCCACACTGGCTGGTTTGTTTTCGATAAGTATCGGCGGCATATCGATAGTTCGTGAACCCAAGCCAAACAACGAAATTTTAATAATAATGGTGGAACCCAAGATGCAGCCGCCCGTGGAGCGAGCGCCCAACGCCGAGACCGTCCTGCCCCTCAGCCGGGTGCGCACCATCATGAAGAGCTCCATGGACACGGGGCTGATCACCAACGAGGTGCTCTTCCTGATGACCAAGTGCACCGAGCTGTTCGTCCGCCATTTGGCGGGAGAAGCGTACACGGAAACATTCCGCCAAAAGCCGGGCGAAACCCTGAAGTACGAGCATCTCTCGCAGCTGGTCAACAAGAGGAAGAACCTCGAGTTCCTGCTGCAGATCGTGCCGGAGAAGATCCGGGTGCACGAGTTCCAGGAGATGCTGCGATTGAACCGATCCGCCGGCAGCGACGACGACGATTCCGATTCCGGTTCAGAGTCGGATGAATGACTCGAACTGGACTTGGACTTGTACCGTCCCCAGACTGATTTTAACGCCTCCCTCACCCCGCCATCTCTTAGTTTAGGCCAGCCCTCCCCCACTAGATAAGTTAACGATTGTGTATACATAACCCCTGATTAATAAAGAGCAAATATGAGCAGTGTGTCCTCCAAATGACCACCAGATCGTGAGATGTCTGCGTCTGATAGCAAACCTCGTTGTCTTTCCATTTCAACCGATTAAATATCACAGTTTTCGAGGAATGCCCTTGTCTTTAGGTTGGAAACCAATCTATAGTGTAACAACTCTAGGTTTACCAGGTAAAAAACATTACTTTATAATACCTCTAGGTTTACCAGATAGAATACATCATAATATAGAAAAAAATTAAATGATACTAAGCTAGAATTTTGGTGAGAAAGTTTGGTAAATTCCATAAAAGCCTTTGTGTCTTTAATGATATATAGAAAGTATAAACTAAGTAAGATCTCTTATTAAGAAATGCTTTTCCTAATTTAATAAAATTTGTTTACTAAGCAAGAAACCAATCTATCGTATAATAACTCTAGGTTTACCAGGTAGAAAACATTACAGTAAAGGAAAAAATTAAATGATACTAAGCTAGAATTTTGTTGAGAAAGTTTGGCAAATAAAAATAATTAAAATAATTAGAAAATTTGTACTAATTGAAATCCCTTATTAAGAAGTGTCCTCATTTAATAGCACTTTTTTTAATTTACAAGAAACCAATCAATCGTAAAGTAACTCTAACTTTGCTGAGAAAGATTGGTGAATACCCAACAAATTCTCGGGTTTTAAACGATTCTTCTAAAATAGATACCAATTTAAACTTCCTAATTTAATGGCCCCTTTTTACTACACAAAAAAACGACTAAACTTTAGATCAGATTAACCCTTCTCCCCCAAGATAGAAATAACCAACGACGGCAGTTACAAATTTAAAGAGCATAACATATAATTGCACTTGGATTCGATTGGTACATTATACTGTGATCCGGGGACAGAGATTGCAGCTCCAAACCTTGGGACCTTTAGACCTTCAGGTTGACGCCGGGATAGCCGGTGGCATTCAGGCCGGTCACCTTGTAGGTGGTGCCAGCTGGAGAGGGCTGGTCGAACTTGGCGGCGGTGGTCACGTACAGGATGTCCAGGTTGGGACCACCGAAGGCGGCGGAGGTGATCTGCTTGGTGGGGAACTTGATCTCCAGCAGGACCTTGCCAGTGCTGCAAGGGAAAGGACAAGGAAACGGGTTTTAAATAAATAATTATATAAATATTATAAACAGAAAACAAGAGAGAACGCTCTAGTCGATAGGAATAAATATACACAACAAACTGGCATTTATACTTCTCGGAAATCTTTAAAGGGGTGGGCGCAGGACACATTTTAAAATCGTTAGTGGGCGATTGTGGGCGTTAAAGGGGGCGTGGCGCTCGGCTGAAATAAACTTGCGCTGCGTAGGAGGCCCAAGAATATGTGTGAAAAATCACAACCATCTAGCTTTTGTAGTTTCCGAGATCTCAGCGTTTATACGGACAGACAAAGCCTTTTTCTCTACGAGTAAGGGGTATAACTATTCCATTCTAGGCTACTCACTTGGGATTGATCTTGAAGATGGTGGCTCCATTGAAGGTGGCCACATACAGGTTGCCCTCGGTGTCGATGGTCAGGCCGTCGGGCAGCAGATGGTCCTTGGGGCTGGTCTTGCGCAGATTGAAGATCACCTTCGGATTGGTGGCCACGCCGGTGTTGAAGTCGTAGTCGTAGGACTTCACCTCGTAGTCGGTGGTGTCGATGTAGTAGAACTTCTTGGCCTTCTCGTCCCAGGCGAGCCCGTTGGAGATGCCCACATCGCCCTTGATCACCGACACCTGGCCGCCGGCCTCCCAGCGATAGAGTTCGCCGTGACGGAACTCGAACTCGTCGCCAATGTAGCGCATGGTGCCGCCAAAGAAGCGACCGCGAGGATCCACCTTGGCGTCGTTCAGCCGGTTCTTGTCCATCAGCGGCTGCACCTCGAACAGCGTGCGCACCACCTTGGCGGTGGGCGAGACTCCGTCCCAGTTGACGATCACCACCCGGCGGCCGCAGCCCACGGCGAACTCCTGCGGACGTCCCTCCACGGGCAGCACAAAGCCGGCCAGGGTCTCGCCCTCGATCTTCGTCTTGTAGACCTTGTTCTGGGCAAAGTCGTAGCGCAGCAGGCTGCCGGCCTCCAGGTCCACGTAGTACAGGCTCTGCCGGGCCACATCCCAGTGGGGACCCTCGCCCAGACCGGCGTAGGAATCGGGTAGGGGCTCAACCTTGTAGGACATCTGTAAGATTAATTTAAAATTATTTTTAGAGGTCTTATAGGGGATCCAATAAATAATATTCATTTATATAACGCTAGCCTTTATTCACAACTAAGTTCTAGCGAAATAAGCATTATACTACAAGGAAAAAAAAAGATATGAAATAGGGTTATTTCTACCTTATTTCATATCAATAAGATTTATTTGAAATTATTTTAGAGGTCTTATAGGGGATCCAATAAATAATATTTATTTATATAACGCTAGCCTTTATTCAGAACTAAGTTCTAGCGAAATAAGCATCATACTACACAGGAAAAAAAAACGATATGAAATAGGGTTATTTCTACCTTATTTCATATCAATAAGATTAATTTGAAATTATTTTTAGAGGTCTTATAGGGGATCCAATAAATAATACTTATTCATATAACGCTAGCCTTTATTCACAACTAAGTTCTAGTGAAATAAGCATTATACTACACAAAAAAAAACCGATATGAAATAGGGTTATTTCTACCTTATTTCATATCAATAAGATTAATTTGAAATTATTTTTAGAGGTCTTATAGGGGATCCAATAAATAATATTCATTTATATAACGCTAGCCTTTATTCACAAATAAGTTCTAGCGAAATAAGCATTATACTACACAGAAAAAAACCGATATGAAATAGGGTTATTTCTACCTTATTTCATATCAATAAGATTAATTTGAAATTATTTTTAAAGGTCTTATAGGGGATCCAATGAATAATATTTATTTATATAACGCTAGCCTTTATTCACAACTAAGTTCTAGCGAAATAATATATAAAATATAAAAACAGATTAACACAATCTTTATTCATATCAAAATGATATGAATAACTTGATCTCTAAAAAATATCAAATTGACCATTACCATTTTTTTCTGTGTTAAAGGTTAAACTATTATATCACCTGCACGCCTGCATGCATATTTAACAAATTATACGGTTCCATGAAAAACTCACGTATGGATGGTTTACTTTTAAAGAATCTATTGTCAGAACGATCTTTTTTATAACAACTCAATCATCAGTGAAATATGATGACTTTATAACCAAGTATTAAAAATGTACCATCATAGATAAGATTTGTAGCCCCAAAATTGCTTAATTTTCTTTGCTTTTAATTTTCGAGTAGTGATTATTATTATAATAACAAAATTACACATTTATGACAGGTTAATAACCGCTGTAATTATTATTCAGCGCGATAATTTCGGAATATCTATCCAAATTATTTAAAGCATCACCTAAATGATACAAATCAAAGAAGTTTAAAATTCAATTCAAAACAAAAATCACTACACTCCTTATATCTTGTTAACTATTAAAAAAAAAACACTGAATAAAATATCTAGATATCTAAGGTCACACTAATAAAGACCACTTGTTCTACTTATAGATCCACTACCGTTAGTCCCAAGAGGCAGGCCATAGCCACTGGAATTAGTAAGGACGGTTGATACATCGCGCGAATCTGAAGCTCTGGCTTTCTGGGGTTCCGACTCAAAACTGAAGCTAAGGCAGTCGTCGCGAGAGGCTTTTATTACCTCGAAACCAGGGGCTTGACATTAGCATCATCGCAAGCGGAACACAAAACGAGAGATTATTTATTTCCATTTCGATGTTTTCAGATCAATTTTTTCCACTGGCCGACGGCGAACAGTGGGGGATTTGCTAAAAGGTCGATGCCTTTTTATTGCCGATTTATTTTTGGAGATATTTTGACTAATTTTTTTATGAACACAAATTGATTTGTAATTTCTTAGTCTGACGCTTTGTTATAATATTTAACAATAATACTAGTTATTTACTGGTTGCTAGTTAGTTTTTTTTTTAAATTTTTTAGGAAAAATAATATTTTAAAATAATACGCTTGAGAATTTTTTAAAAAATGTTGATGCTATACAAAAAAAAGCTGCTAACAATTTACTTCTTTTACAAGAAAATAAATACAAAAAAAAAGTAAAATGAAAAAATTTGGGAGATCTCATTTTTTGTGAGCTACATTACTCGTATTTTCCACTGTGCGATGCAGCTGCGCTCTTGTGACGTCATGCCCTTCACTTACTCAGCAGAAGCAGCAGGGAAAACAACAAAAACAACAGATGCCGCGATTAACTTTTAACTTTGATTACGTCTGCCATTTAGCATTGTTTGTTGTGGCTTTTTAATTGACTTTTGTTGTCGCAGCGACTGCTGCTGGTGTTATTGAATTGGTCAAGTTTAGACCTTAAAGAGATGCTCAGTGGCGGGGACTCCTGTTATCGGACACATGTAAATGGCACAGTGGGCGTAGTCAGCTCAAAACCGTAAAGTTGCCAGTTCAATTTGGTTGAATTTATTTATTTCAACATTTTGTTTGAATTAAATGTGATTGTTGTTATTAAGTAATCATAACTGGTTTTGTATGCAATCTGCTAGTAACTTGACATTTAAAAGGCATTTTTTTAAAATGCCAAAAAAAAAACTTAAAATCAAGACAAGACTATTCCTCATTATTATTTTAAAATTTCAATTTAAGACTCACGAATGTTGTCTTTATATTTGCATCCTTTTATTTCTCACTTTTAAGATTCATTAAAGCAACGCCTATCACAATTTTTTTTTTTAATTTTAATTTTTGCAAGTATTTGTTTTTAGGTTTTTTAAGAATTTGTATTACTTTGGTTTGAAATTATTACAAATAAAGGACCAAGAACACTCAAAACTTTTTTTTGAAAACACTTTAGCACTCGAAAAAAATAGGGACAGAGTTCTGGAACTGGGTTCTCAAGGAGACCTACCTTCGAAGAAGTTTTCGCTTTGTTTGAAATGGCAAACGAGAATAAGAATCCTTGGACACGGCTTCGACGGGGAACGCGTTCAAACTGAATTTCACCCGATCCGCCCGAAATCTTTTATACCCCAGCCGGCACGGGCGTGACAGGCAATCTCGCCAAGACATAGCTCCCGCCGCCCCATTCCGACTGATAAGCGGGCAATTGGAGTGCTGGATAACCCGGCCTGATAACAGAAGCCGGCAACAGCCGTATTAACCCGCTGACAACACTCATTTATTATTTAAGACAAACAACGGGTGAGGGTAAAATTTCCTGAATGATGATGGGTACCTTTCAAAAACAAACTTTTCAAATTAAAGGGCGTCTACGAATAATTGGATAGTTATTAAACAATACTTCAAATTGTGATTCATGAATGAATCAAGTTGTGACTAGCTCGTTAATTATTGGAAAAAAAAAAAACGAAAATGATATAAAACCAATTTAAAAAAAAAAAAAATATCAAAACCACTTCATACGTTTTTTTCCAATTTTTTTTTCTCAATTAATATTATAAATATTTTTTGCTTAGGAAATTTAATTTTATTCTCTGAATTTTAAGGTTTTAGCATGCGGTCGAAAAAATTATGTTTAATAAATAGGTATATATTTTCTTCTTTATAACTAAAATCCGATTTTATTTGTAAAATGCATCTATGTTTATTCAGAAAGACTTGTCAGGATGGTTAAAATGTATTAGTGTACGATTTAAAAAGTTTTTTAATAATGTAAAAAATTTAAGATATATTAATAGAAATATATCAGAAGTTTTAAACCCCATATAATGTTGTGGGGTTAAGAAACGGACAGAGATTTTGCAATGAAATGTGCAAAATGCACAGAAGTGGGCGTGTCGTGTGGGCGACAGGCGATAAAAGAAACATTTGGAAACATTTGAATTAAATGGTTTTATAATTAAACCTTTTTTAGCGCATGTCTATGCTTCCGCTGGGCCAGTGATAAGTTGCAGCGGGTGGCGATAAATCGCATCCGAGCCACTGTAACTGGGATTGGGATGCCAAAGGATGGACCTATAAGTACGTAGTATATGGAGCTGATACCACTCCCCACATGACCTCCAGTGGTTATTTACGGCGCATCTTACACTGCTCTTTGCACCCCGAGAAGGGAGGAGGAGGGGAATCGGACCACGACCAAGTCCGAATCCGAATCTTCAATCTTGAATCTTCAGGCGAAAGTATCGCCTACCTTATCGGTAGCAGCAGACGGTTGTCACCCCAGTTGACCCCTGACTCGGCTTTTCTATTTCCATCGCAACTTTAAATTTAAATTGCTCTTTAATTAATTGCTCGAAGATTTATGGCCATATTTGTTAGCCTGTCCATTGATAAGGAAAGTTCGACCTTTTACAATCCAAATTCGCTAAAATGTTTACAAAAAACCTTGATATAAACACAAATGAATTTTAAATTGGATTGGTAAACTAAAAACTAAGTATTCCCAAATCATAGAGATCAAAAGAATTCCGGGATGTTTTATTAATCCTAATAAATCTGCACAACTTTTTTGTTTTGAACTCAAGATAGAAAAACTAATATTGCCTAAGTTAAAGACAACATTTTTTTTACAAAATTATAAGATAATTTAAAAATTTATGACAATCAGGAATTATTAATAATAATAATTAAATTGCAAGATCACTTAAAAGAAATGTGGCAATCAGTAAATAATTATAAGAAGGGTTGAACTTTTTTTTAGAAAATTGTTTTGTTTTTCTAAATATAATTTTTCGAAAGCAAAGATCTAGCTGGGAATTAGGAAATTTGACTGTGAATGAATATTTTATAAGATTCTTATAAGTTTTAAAAATTGCATACCTCCCCAATTAAAAATATTATTGCATATTATCTTAAAATTCCAAAAAATCAATCCTAAATTCCGGTATTTTCAAAATGAAAAAGAAAGCAACAACAACAACAACAACCGATTGTTGTTGTTGGGGCCGGTTTTCATTTTCTTTTCATGCGGCGGTTCATCAATTGTGTTGTTGCCCCTGTTCTATGTCAAGGCCATTATCATTGTGCAAATTAGCCGAAGTTGCAGCCGCTTTGCTACACCTTGCAACTTGTGGTTGCCTACTTACGATTACCGATTAGCGGGGGCAATTAACTGCAGTTAAATCAGGCAAAATAATAAAGAAACGCAACGGTAATAAAAAGATAAAATTACAACAACAACAAAAAAGGCCCACTGTGGGGTCGATCAAACATCGATGAAAATATCGATGCATCGATGTTTTACATTTTTTTTTTGTTTAGAAAAATCGATGTTTTAGGCCTGTAAGCGAAAAATGTGTTTTTAATTTAAGTTAATTACTGTCATGAGCAGATCTACGGGAGTGAAATGGGTTATAAATCACCCCCACCTCGGTTCAAAAATTAAAGAAAATTTGCTATTCAAAAAGTTTACTGTATTGGTGGCGTAGGAAAGCGGTGGATTCAGCTATATCATAATACTCTCCTATAATACTATAATGTGAAAATGCTGATCTGTGAAATACTTATGATCTTTTTTTAAATTTTTTTTACCGAATGAGGTCTTGCAGTTGGGCTATTTTATTCTACTTATTTATTAATTTGTTCAATTTTTTTTTCAAAACATCGATTTTTGTTTTTTTCTAAACATCAAAAACATCGATGTCTGCGAAAATTTTCAGGTAAAATAAACCTCTTTGACGACCAATAATTAAAATTTATTCTACCTTGGAATAAACAACAACTTTCTTATGTCATCCCATTTACCTTATTCAAATTCAAATCAGTTCAAATTTTGCGCCAAAAAACTCGAACAAAACAGGTCCACAGGGTGATTCGTCTTTTTTCAGGGCTGCCACCTTGTTCGATTAATAAGGGCAGGCATTTTGTTTTATGTTCACCCTAATCCGTCGATTGACCCGACAAATTCAAATTATTTCGTTGAAGCCGTAATGGATAATGGATTATTTATTTGATATATAAATAAACAAACAATAGAATAACTAATTTGGAAAGAAGACTGGTCATGGACTCGACCATTGATGTTACGTTATCATTTAATTTTACATTTTTTAATGCGTGAGTTCTTCAGGGCAAATATCACTTTATTTGACGTTGTAAATGGCTCGAACAGTCAATCCGATAAAGCAGTCAAACCATCGTTGAATTTATGGGTAGTATCGATGGTTGGCACTCTTGCTCTTTACTGTCGGAAAAATTAAACAAATTATACATTTTGACTAATTTTTGAACATTTTTAAAGCGGTTACATCGCGTTATATTTGACAAAAATCGAATAAGCTGTGATAAAAATATCGATGTTTGACCGTGGGTGGCAACGTCGCTCTCAATTTCGATTAAAATCTGCGATGTAAAAGCCTCAATATTAAGGCATCGATATAAATAACATCGCCACCTGAAATATCGGCGAAAACATCGATGCCTGCTGCCCGATTCTTCGATGCTTTCTGCGTGCAAATCAAACTGTTTTCCAGCCCCGGCGGAGCATGTCGCAGATCCGCAGCGTTGCGTTCAATTTTTTTCCAGTGCGATTCTCCTCGTTCCAAACAAAACCAAGCGAAAAGAAACCGAAAGCGAAGGAAGGGAAAGAATAGAATAGTCGGCCCAGGACAGCGATAAAAGGATCGGGGCTAAACGACCAGTGCGAACAATGTGCGGAAAGTGGGTGACGCGGTCGGCGTGGTCGACGGCGACGGAGAGCGGATAGTGTGGATGGTGTGGGGAACGATTGCGAACAGACGCAGACCGAAACAAAAGTGAAAACGTGCAAAAAAAAAAAAGTAAGAAGGAAAAAAACAAAAGAAACAAGAGGCGAATAGAGCGAATACAAAGCGACAAAATGTGCGACGCTGCGGCGGCAACAACAACAACAACTACAGCGGCAGTGGAGGCCACAGCGACGCCTGGAACGGGAGGAGCCACTGGAACGGTAGCTACCACATCCCCTGAAGCTTCAGCGGCGGCGACGGCTGGCGCTACACCAACAACAAAAAGCGAACGGTCGGCGCGACAAAACTGCTGTCGCCTGTGCATCGCCCCGCAATCCGAATGCATCTCGATCATCAATAGCTATGCGGCGGACAAGGAGCCGCTGTCCACCAAGATCCACAACTGCGTCAGCATCAAGGTGAGTTTGGCTGTAGTATACCACATGTCTACGTCGCTGTCGTCATCCCGGGCACAGCGATACCGATACCTGTTCCGATTCCAATTCCGACCAATCCGAATCCGGCTCCGAGAATCCGAGTCCGGCGGCGCTCTCTCCGAACGGTGCTCTCTTGGGCACTCCGGTGTGCTCTTACTCCGGTGGTTGGACACCATTAACAGTTATACACACATCCCGGTGGCCCGGTGGAAATGGAAGTGGAAGTGGCAGTGGAAGGATGAGGCGGTGGCCACACCCGTTGCTTTTCCGCTTTGGACGCCCAAAGAGTGAGGTTACGGCCGAAGATGATGGAGAGTAGCCATTGGCCCCCGGGGGCAGTGACGTTGGATTTGGATTGTGCAAGCACCCAAAGATGATGGCCACCGAAAAAGACGAAGAAAACTAAAAACGAACGAAAAACCAGCACCAGCGCCAGCCAAACCCCGCCTCCTCCTCCTCCTCTTCCACTTCTGGCTCTTCGCTGTGCGCGAGTATGGGTGTGTGGCTAGCCGCATGGTCCGCTTTTTGGGTTTCCAATGTTTCCACTGCCAAGTCACGATGCAGTGCGAGGAATGGAAGAGGAGAAGAAGGAAGAGGAGTAGAGTCGCTGCCTGGCTGTAATCCAATCACGACCACAATCTTTTGCTCATAATCAAACTTGAACTCTCCACTTTAGCTACTCCTCCTCCTCCTCCTCCTCCTCCTGCTTCCATTCCATTCCATTGCTTCCTTGCCTTCCCGCTTTGAGGTTAGAACTGATCCTGCTTCCTTTCCAAAAATGAACTGCCCGCTCCTCCTCCTCCTCCTCTTCTTCTCGTTCGCCTCTTCCCAGCGGGCGAGAGCAGCTGCGAATGGCCAGCACAAAGCATAAAGTCCGATGAGCGCGCCGTCGTCTTTGCCTGTGTATGTGTGCCTACATCTCTGTGCCTGTGTGTGTGTGTGTGCGGCGGGCAACAGAGATTCAGATTCCGATTCCGATTCAGCGATTCCAGGCCAGAAAACCGAAAAACCCAAGAAGCCAAAAACCGAAAACCCAAAAAGCCAGGCAAATTACATATAATTTCGCGTTGCTTCTGCCTTTTTCAAGGAATTTCGCTTGGAGGGCAGCAGTTGCTCTCTGCTCCGCTCTCTCTTTGCGCGCGCGCATCCTTTTGAGGAGGAGGACGAGGATACGATGACGATGGCGATGACGAGGAATCGGAATAGGAATAGGAAGAGGAAGAGGCGGAGTAGGAGGAGGAGGACTTGGACTGTGCGGCTTCGCTAGCTTCGTTTATTGATTCTTTCTGGGCTCCTATTTTTTGTTGTTGTTGGGACAGGAAATTCCCGAGTTCCCCCGGCATCGGAACATAGTATATATCCCATATCCGCCATGCTGCTTCTTGGTGCCCCCAATGGTCGCCGTCGCCGTCGTCGTCTGGGTCCAATGGGTTCTCCTCGATTCTCGGTTCTCTGTTCTTTCCCTGGGCTTCGATTCGATTTCATGGCAATTGCTCTTCACACAGACATGGACGCGGGCCCACACACACACACTGGCGCGCCAGTTCCCACCGGGAAAATTCCTCTGGAAAATAACATATTTTCAAGAGGTTTCTCCATAGAAGCGGAAGGGACTAAACCTCATTCACCCCTTACATTTCTTCCATCTCTGGTTTCAAAATACACGGGGGTGACACAAAAAGTAAGGGGGAAATGAGGTTTCTATCTGGATCTCTGGCAGAAGAATGCAGGACAAAATCCACTGGTTTTTCGACTTCCCGCATTATAGATTTTCCACACGTTCCCAGTTATGGTTTTCCTCCACTTGCAATATCTGCATTTCTACACCCTCCCAGTTTTGGTTTTTCCAGACCCTCGCAGTTTTGGTTTTGCACTGCTTTGCAGTATCTGATTTTCCATAATAAAAATCATGTTTTTTGTAATATTTGTTTGTGTATTTATTAATAATATTTACAATCGAAGCATTGGAACTACAAATTTTTAATGCCTGAAGCATTCCCGGGTTTTGCTTGGCCGAATGCAGTACTTAGATATCCATTTCTTGTCTGTCTTCTGAAAATATCAAACATAATTTAGATATGAATGTAAGACCAGGAATAATAATAAGAGTAATTACCATTATTAGGTCTCCGCACAAAATTAAAGGATCTCTCCAGAAATTATGCCTGGTTTGCCATGGCCGATCATTTACCCTCTGTTCAGTTGTTTTATGTCGGGTATCTATATCAAAAACTATGAGAAGAAAAAATAAAATATGACAAACGCAGGCGCAACACTTCTGGTCCCAAGAAGTCTCAGTCGGCCTGGCTGAAATAAATGTAATATTTTGATTAAGTTAAACAACTAAGTTAGTACTGAAGTACTATTTATACAACCATTTAATGAACACCTCACACTATTTACCACTGGTAAAGATTAAAAACATTTCAAGTGTCACTGAAATGCAGAATTTGTGTTGAAGATAGCATCCGGAGGCGTATATTTATTAATGGGGAAAATATCTGTGATACTAACCTTTGTAACGCTGAAATAAAGGTTATAAAAAGACAAAATTCATTTTATCACTCACCTTTTTATTGTTTTTTAGATTAAAATTAACTATTTTCACTTTTTCCAACAAATTTAAAAATGATGTGACCCTGCATCATATACTTGATAATACTAAATGCAGATTTGATATAAATTTCGTTGTAAAGTCCGGTCACACTTTGGCGCCAAATAAGTATTTCGTTTAAAAAATACTTTTCAGGGACCGTAATCATTAAAGGTTACGTATATTATTGGTATGTTAGGCATTTTTCGTGTTATCAATACCACCAACACGAATTTTTATATTTTAACAACACTTAAAAATGGCTTAGGCCACGATCTGACGATCAAATTATTTTATTTCACAGAAAATGTTTAAAAATGTAAAAAGCAACAATAGTTTTCTTTGTAATTTAATGTAATTCCTTGATAAATGTGATCAAATATTTTAATCGTCTTACCGTGGCTTTTCTCTATAATTTGGTTGAATCCCACATTCATCCTTATTATTATTTGAAAAATGTTGAGTAAAATAAATTAATATTATCATTATAGACATTATGATAATAATGTTATATAGTTTAATTTTTTTGATTAACAATTATTAATATTTTTTCTACGACTTTTAAAATTACTAAAAATTAAAACTAAATGTGATAACAAGTCTTTTGGTTTTGGTGTAAATCATAGGATTTTTTAATATTATATGTTGGTGATTTTCTTGTTTAAAAATATTATAATCGTAGTGCCACAGAAATCACATGGCGCATAAATGGCCTGATATTGATGCTACTCAGAAACCCACCCTCATTTAGCGCTCAGAAATTATCTATCCCTACACCGCCGCCTGCAAAAAGGAACAGGATTTCAAGAACACAAAAACCAACTTCTCACATTCCCGCTGGGTTGCCTCCGACCGAGGTGTACACTGTACATATATACATACATACGTATATGCCCAGCTACAACAACAACACGCTGGTTGGCGTCATCGCTAGCTCGACTGCTTCTCTTGCTCTTGCTCTTCCTCTTGCTCCGTTCTCGTTATCTGGAGGCGGACCACATGCTCGCATACACGCACACACCGACACACGAGCACAAGACAAAGACACAGGCAAAAGAGACCGGGAAACGGGAATGGGTATGGGTATGGGAATGGGTATCGGTATGGGAATGGGAATGGACATGGGCATGGGCACGGTCATGGGTAGAACAGGGGTTAGCGGGAAACGGACAGCGGGAAGCAGCAGCAGGCAGCAGGCAGCGGGCTTGGGCTTGGGCTTCGGAAAACGGACAGCGGCGGAGACCCAAAACCGGGCACTAAATTCGAGTGGTTTCACCTTGGGCACACCAGATTACCTGGTGGGATGTCGATATATTTCTGCTTTTGCCTTTGCCTTTGCCTTTCTGCTGCTTCTTTGGCTGGCTCACTGGTTGGTTGACTGGCTCCTCCTGCGGCCCGCATCGAATTTCCAACAACAACCAGCAGCAGCGTCGTCGTCTCCATTTTGTGGCTCTTGGGTCCCCAGGTGGACTAACTTTCTCCCCTTGGCCAAAAAATGCGACGACGAAAGAAGCGACGTGACGAGATGACAAGCCGATAAAAGAGGGATTGCAAGAGGGGCAGCGGAAGAGGAGGGCAGGAGGAGGGCAGGAGGAGGGAAGGGCAGGGAGGAAGCCAACAACGGAACAGAGAGAAGCAGCCAAAGCATCCACATTTCCACTCTGGCTCATCCAAGATGGCGGATGAGGGCTGGCTGGATGGAATAGGTAGCCAGGGAATTTGCGAACACAAGGATACACACTTTAGGGATACATAAATGCCCAAGGATGCTCTGCGTCTGTCAATCCAAAAGGGAATAGGATATTGTAAATAAGATGATCTGATATGATATATGCATGTAATTTGGGTTAATAAAAATGGGAATGTTAGATAGATATATTAAAAACAAATGGAACAACATTATTTTGTAATGTATTTAGGATTTAAGCCATATGAATATTGAAATTAATTAGAAAAATAATATAGATAAATTCCAGAATATAAACACTCGTTAGATAATTCAAGATTCTTAAATCCTATTATTTTTGAATAGGTATTTTAAATTTATCATTCATTTAATCGCAAAAGATTTATGAATTGAATTGGCTTTAATTCAATTATGTAAATCCCCTTTACCCCCCTAACCACGCCGCTGCTTAAGCTTGTCGTCTTAATCGATAACTCGCATTGATCTCCACAATAACGATAACAGCTGTTTGGAAACCCTGTAGGGTGGACCCTGTTGCACTTGCGTTTTTATTTTGTTTTTGCGCCGTTCGCTGGCCTGCGACGAAATTTAATATTTCAAAAGAACTCGAACTCGGATTCCGACTTCTCTTTGTCCTGCCCTTCGTCCTGCTCTCAAGATCTCCGGTCTGCTTAAATATGAGGGTTACTTTTTGGTTATTTCTACGTCTTCACTACTTTGTGCGTGGAACTGACAGGACAGGATGCCCGTGCTCTCTCTCTCTTGCCCACACACACACACACACACTGGCGCACACAAACATTTATATATATATACTCAAACAGCATGGGTTTGAAACGAATAAGGACACAAAAAGGAGAAGAACTTGTTCCACGAAGGAGCAGAGGCAGCGGGGAGACGGAAAGGGAATGGGAATGGTCCATGGCCCATGGCTGGTGATTATTGCACCTGGTGGCCAGCGGAAAACGAAGGCGGCAGCTGGTGGTATCGAATCGGAATCTGCAGCTGCCACAAGTCTTTCTGCATTATGTACCATATCCACTATGTACCACATAACTCCTGCCCTTTTTGTGACTTTCTAAAATCTCTCACCTTATTGCGTATTATCTATAAGGCGGATAACCGTTAAGCCCAAAACCCAAACCCAAACCCAAATGGGGTTCCCATGTTGCCACATTAAAGTGCAGTCCGCGTAACATGGAAATCCTTGTATCCTGTATCCAATTGCACGGGGGAAACATGGCGGCCATAAAGGAAACGCTGGTTTGGGCGAGGTGAATGAACAACATATTATCGAAATGGAATGGAGTTTTGGAGTTGGATATCCTGCACTGGGAATGGAAGTGGGAATGGGAAACGGGAATGGGGGATTGTACATAAGGATACGGTGTATATTATATATGTAGGGCCAAAATTGGAGGCAGCGGGTGTTTGCCCATGTATGTGTGTGCTTAAAGGACCCGCCGGGCTTTAATATCCTGGGGTTTCAATTACAATGGCACAACAATGCAGCGAACAATAACAACAACAACAACAACAAGTCTTCGATTATTAAATTAAACACACCAGCGCACACATGCACACACAAACAAATGCGTGTGCATACATAGCTCAAGTCGAAAAGACAAATGCAAAACAAAACATTTCATTTCCATCGTTTGTTTTGATCATTTTCATTCGCCTCTTCGATTGCTAATTCTCGCGTTTGTTGCTATCGATATTCAACTAAAGTGACAAAAAAAAAAAGGGACCAGTGCTGACAGTATAGCGGTTTTCAAGCCAGTGATCGGATATTTCATTATAATAATAATTCAAAAAATATATTGCGGTGTACGTTTAAACACTAATTAATCCAAAAATTAATTATCATAATTTTAAGTAATATCATAGGGAATTATGCAAAATATGAATTTAATTTTTAAATTTTCTGATCTTACGCTATATTAGTAAAAATTTAAATTAGCTATGTTTGGAAAAGTTAAAATGCCTACCATTTTTATTTAGATGTTGATTAAGATATTTTCTTATTTTAAACTACAGAAATTAAAAATAATTTACTTTATACATCAATATGTTGCACATACAATGTATCCACTCGTCAACACTGAGAAACTGCAACTGTTTCGATAAGCGATTACGATAAAGTATGCTTAACCGCGGCTTTGATAATTGAGATTTAATAGATTTTGTGGCGGCCAAGATGTTTTGAGACCGCGAAGCTCCCGGCGAAATCGACCCGTGTGCGTGTGTTTGGGGCAGGACGGGCATACATAAGTACGTATGTATGTATGTATATAAGGGCGGGCTTACATAGGCTGGCAATTCAAACGATACACACAGTCGTACACAAACAAACATGCGCACACACTGTTATCAGCCAGCAGGACATTTCATATGATTTGCGCAGTGTTCTATGTTTGTAGTGGTGAGCGGTGGGTGGTGGGTGGCAAGGTGATGAGCTGGCCAGCGGTGGGTGGTGTGGGATGCTGCGGCAGTATTGCATATAATTATAAGCAGGTCATTGACATTAATAGGATAGTTGGGAGCTGGGGACCGCTACCTGCATTCTCCGCATCGCTGGACACACAAACTCCACTGTTGTTGTCCTTCCCCCCAAAACTGCAATCAAAAGGCCAAAAACCGAAAGAGTGGGCAAACATCCAGGAATATTTAGACTTTAAGTAATCAATTTAACCTCCGATAAGCGTTACTGAACCAATATTTTAATATTGCAATTATTAAAAACTTTTTATATTTCTGATACGATCCTCCCGTTTTTATGGAGTCTTATTATATTATTGGTATAGATAACGGTATATTTTCTCAAGATCACTTAAGAAATACCCCTTATATAAAGGTTTAGTTTCTGCTGCTAAAATAATTAATATTTATATATTTCTTATTTGAAATATTTAAATTTAAAGAAGACACTTTAACAAACTTCAAAAAGCTTATAATCCGATTTAAAAAAATGTTGTTAAGTAATCAATTTAACCTCCGATTAACGTTACTGAACCAATATTTAAATATTGCAATTATTAAATAAACTTTAAAATTTTCTGATATAGTATGGTATTTCTGATATGATCCTCCCGATAATTTTGAGTCCTATCATATTATTGGTAACGTTATATAGACAACGTTATATCTTCTGAAGATCTCCAAAGAAAAAACCCTTTTATACTTTAAAGGTCTAGTTTCTACTGCTAATATTAATAAAATTATTAGTTTTTATATATTTCTTATTTAAAATATTTAAATATAAAGAAGACACTTTAAGAATCTTTAAAAAGTTTATCTTCCGATTTAAAAGAAATTTTATTAAGTAATCAATTCAATATTAAAATATTGCAATTATTAAAAAAACTTTATAAATTTCTGATATAGCATGGTATTTTTGATATGATCCTACCGATCTATTTTGAGTCTTATTATATTATTGGTATAGATTACGTTATATCTTCTCAAGATCTCTTAGAAAAAACCCCTTATATACTTTAAAGGTTTGATCCTACTACTAATAATACTAAAATAAATAGTATTTATATATTTATTTTTTAAATATTTAAATTTTAAGAATTTTCTTTAACAATCTTTAAACCTAAAAAAAATATATACAATTCGATGTTCATCCCCCGATTTATACAACTATTTTCAGATTACACCGCAGGATCGGCTGTCGCTCCAAATTTGCCACGCCTGCATCAGCTACCTGAACTCATGGCAGAGCTTCAAGAACCGATGCTTCAGCTCGCAGACGAAGCAGCGCCAGTGGCTGGATGCCAACAAGAGCAAGCTGCTCAACTACCTGGACCTGAACAGTGCGGAGAATGGAGGAGGAGGCTCCTACGATCACCAGCAGCAGCAGCAGCAGCAACAACAGCAGCAGCAACAGCAATCGGAGAATGAGCTCGATGCGGAGAAGGCGACGCCAACGGCCTCAGCAACGGCCGCCAACATTTTGGATGGCATACACTCGCTGAAGAAACGCAAATCCCTAACAGTCTATGTGAGTCCTAAACCGCAGCAGCTGCCGCAGCATCAATTGCAGCAGTTGCAGCTGCAACCACCGGCCAGAATGACGGCGACGACCAGCAGCAACGCGCAGCAATCGCTGCAGACCCTTCTCTTGCAGGTGCCATCATCTGCGGCGGCGGCGGCGGCGGCCAGCTGCTCCTCCACGTCTACATCCACCACATCCGCATCCCATCAGCGGGAGCAGCAGCATCAGCAGCGTCAGCAATCCCATCAATATCGCAGATACCATCATCACCACCACCAGCAGCAGCAGCAGCAGCAGCGTGGCAAGCAAATGTTGCCACATCATCATCATCAGCAGCAACAGCAGCAGCATAGACGCCAGCGGCAATTTCGTCCACAGCGTCCAGTTCCGGCAGCAAATCCGGCTCCATCGTTGCGCAAATTCAAGCCGAAGCTGTACTTGCCGCTGGACATAGCAGTGCCTCCACTGCCACCGCTGCCAGCGCAGCCATCTTTGCCACCTTTGCCACCAGTGGCCACCGCCGGATCGATTGCGGCGCCTGCTGCTGCTGCTGAACTGCTGCCCGGGTTGTCTGGTGTGGGTGTGGGCGGTGGATTGGAGAGCTTGTCGCTGTCGCTGCCGCTTGATTTCAGCCAAAGCTGCAGCAGCAGCAGCATCGCTCACGTCCAGCAACAGCAGGCGGCGGCCACGTCCACGTCTAATCCGCCGGCCTCTGTCTCTGCAACTGCAACTGCAACGGCAACTGCAACTGCAACTGCGTCTGCTTCCACGGCTCCGCTGCTTATGCCGGTGACGCTGCAGAGCGCCGCCCAGCAGCTGCGCTTTTTCAGACGCTACTCCTATAATGTAATTGTATCGTGCATTCGCCTGCCCCCTTCCCCCTTCCCCAATCCTGTACAGCGCTCTTCTACCTGTTATCCCGAATGCCAAATGCCAATTGCGAAATTATGCCAAATCTCAGCCATGTCCGTCTGGAAATTTAGTCTTAATAGAGCCCTTGCCGATTTCGGAATGAATTTATGTATGATAACAATACTAAATCTGGCTAACGGGTATCAATGGACGTACTGCAGCGTCCATGATTGATGTTTATTGATTTAACACTTTCTATTGTGCCATATATACGAATGATGCGATGATATAAATCTTACATTCGATACAAACTAATTTCCGTTTCGTCTGGCATTGTTTGCTCTCTCGTTTTCGGTTGAATGTGGATTGGATTGGATTCCCTGCAGCCACTGCCCGCGATGCCCATTAAAGATGAGCCCATTGACACGGATGACGACTACCAGATGAAGTCCATTGACGAGTCTGACGACATGGTCGATCCCACGATGTTCCTAGAGCGCTCCGAGCACGAGGGCGATATGCCGCTGACGGTGAGTCATCAACGAATAGCTGCTACTTGGCTTATATATAGAATAGGATATCATTTAGGAAAGGATTCATTTTAAATATTTAAGCTACTTATAATCATATTCGTGTTCACTTTAAATACCCAAATTCTTTACATAAATGTTGATTTTAAATCCGTGAATTCTTTACAATTTTATAGAAGGCAATTTTAAAGAAATAAAATAATATTTGCTATCCATTTAAACATAGCTTTTACAACTTTTGAATTTCGAGTTCTTTAAACAAATGTTGATTTAAAATTCCTGAATTCTTTAGATTAATTTTGATTTAAAATCAAGGAATTCTCTAGATTAATGTTGATTGTAAATCCGCGAATTCTTTAGATTTATGTTGATTTAAAATCCTCGAATTCTCTACATTAATTTTGATTATAAATCCGCGAATTCTTTAGATTAGTGTTGATTTTAAACCCGCGAATTCTTTAGATTAATGTTGATTTCAAATCATTAAATTTTTTAGATTTATGTTGATTGTAAATCCGTGAATTCTTAAGATTAATGTTGATTGTAATTCGCAAATTTTTTAAATTAATGTTTACTTAAAATCACCTAATTCTTAAGATTATTGTTGCTTTAAAATCCTCGAATTCTCTACATTAATTTTGAATATAAATCCACGAATTCTTTAGATTAATGTTGATTTTAAGTCCGCGAATTCTTTGGATTAATGTTGATTTAAAATCACCGAATTTTTTAGATTAATGTTGATTTTAAATCCGCGAATTATTAAAAATTGTATAGAAGGGAATTTAAAAGAAATAAAATAATATTTGCTATCCATTTAAATTTATCTTTTACAATTTTTTCCCGAGCCCTTAACAAGGGTTTTAAATGCAAGTCGCTGACCCGATATTAATGAATATTTCACTTGTGTACCCCCTGCAGGCCTCGGACTACGACTACACTGCCCAGCATGGCGTGAATGCCTCGTCCGCCGCAGCCTCGCTGCCGCCGAATGCGGTGGCCAATGTGGCGGCCGCTGGCGACTCCAAGGTGGCCAGCTGCCGGGCCTGCAGCCTGCAGTTCTCCACCCGGGCCAACGCCCGTCGCCACGAGCGCAACCTGCACCCGAATCTTTTCCAGCTGTCCACCGACTCGCCGCACAACACGCCCATCACAAAGCCCACGCCCGCCCTAGCCGCCGCCCTGGAGATCCAGCGGGCAGCGGCTGCGGCGGCCACGGCGGAGGCAAATCGAGCTGCCGGTGCGGCGGGCGGCAACATCTCGACGCAGAAGTACCGCCAGGTGGTGATGAACGCGTTCATCAAGTGCGAGGGCGGCGGCTACGACTACGACAATCCCGAACAGTACCGGCCGCTGCTCACCCGCGACAAGGTGGAGTTCATCGAGCAGAACGACGAGTTCCTCGAGCAGTACCAGACGATGACCTGCCGCTGCTGCAGCAAGTACTTCAGCACGTACAAGAACTTCATGGCCCATGTGCGCAAGAAGTATCCGCTGCTGCCGCGCAACCTGTGCTTCAACTGCCTCAAGATGAACGACTCCAAGGCGCTGTTCATCTCGCATCTGAAGAAGCGCAACTGCATCAATCTCTTTAGGGTTTTGAATGCGCTGCGTGGCAAATCGACGACGACGGCGGCGGCCTCGGTCGTTCTATCCTCATCCGAGGATGTGGCGATGATGGACGATGGAGCAATGGCCATCCCCGATCAGGATGTTTTAGTAGGAGCAGCCGCCATGACCAGTCCCACAGTGACGCAAGAAGTCGTGACTCCCGGCGGTGGCGGCTCCTCCGAACGTCCGGAGAAGCTGCGCGCCAAGGAGCTGCTGGTCAACAAGCTGTACGAGTGCAAGCTCTGCCCGAAGGGTTTCCGGACCAAGCACGAGTTCCGGACGCATGTCTACGACAAGCATGCGGATGTGCAGCGTAAGGACAACAACTCCATACAGTGCAGCTTCTGCGGACTGGACTTTGCCGATCCGGTGGACAGGCGGCGGCATTACAACAACATGGACTGCATTGTCCGGCTGCGCTGCATGACGTGCGACGCGAAGCTGGAGACGCATCAGCGTTTCCTCGACCACGTCTACCAGGATCACTTGGGCGGCGTGGGCGGCGGCAGCGGCGGCGGTGGCGGCGGAGCGAGCAGCGATAATGCCTCCACCACGGGCAGCGGAATGGCCAGGAGCAACAGCATGGAGCATTCGCCGGGCAAGAGGAGTCTGTTGGGTGCTCTGGGCATCGGTGTTGGCTCCTCGGCGGATGAGTCGCGTAGCAGCAGTGCGGCTCCTCCTCCATTGACCTCTACACCAAAGCCAGCGGGAGCTACGCAAGTAGGTGGCGGCGGCTCAACCTCCGCTCAGAGCTCGGCGAATCGGGATGCCTCCGCCTCCGCCTCCGCTCCGAAATCCCAGTACTTCTCACGGATGCCGCAGGTCTGCCCCATTTGCGGCCAGCAGTACAACAACTACAACAATGTGCTGCGGCACATGGAATCGAAGCATCCGAACAAACTGCCCGAGACCTACAAGTGCGTGCGATGCGGACTGGGGTATCCGAGGATCTCGTACCTGCGGGAGCATATGATCAATGTGCATGGCGTGGACAAGAATCGGCACTCTGGCGGCTTTGAGTACATCGTGAATGCGGATGCAGTGAAGCTGGCCGACGGCAGCACGCCGAACGTTTACACGGGTCGCTACGACTATGTGATGAAGGACCTGATGTCGATAACAAATGGTGGGACACTCGGTAATTAGGCTTAGATTGTAGACGTCCCCCGCTCTGTGCCTCTGTTTCCCATCTCTAAAATAGTTTGTTTGATGTCTTCCGCACAACTAAATGTCATTTAAAGCGTAAATTATGGAAAGGGAAGCTAGAAACTGCCCTTACGTATTCATGTTTTTATTTATGTAGCATCCTATTTTCATGGTTGAGCTTTGCCTGCTTAACCTGCCCCGAATTTGCTTACAATATAAGTACATACTAAGTTCCTTTCCCTAACATTGTTTTAAAACCAGGGTTCGGAATTTAAATTAAAATTGTATTTTACAGTGTGAGCAAAGTTTTTGACATGTGTGTCAAAAACGAAAGTGTTAGAATGTGAAAAATAATTGTTAGCACACACAGCTAACTTGTTTTTTTACACAATGTGTTATTTACACGCTGTGTTTTTAACTAAAATGAAAATTACATTTTTTGGACATCGAAGGGAAAATGAAGAATCAATATTAGGCCAGGATATCTTAATTGTTATTTTTAACCGTTTCAACACAAATATGAATATTTTCAATTACAGAAAACCGTGAATTTTTTAGTTCAACAGATATTTTTGACGTTTTAATGTCAAAAACTCATTGTGTTAAAAGCACGTTGTGTAAAAAACATGTCGTGTTAATAACACGTTGTGTAAATAACACAAATAAACTGTGTGTGCTATTTATGTTTTTAACATATGTATTACATATTATGTAAGCTACAATTTTTTACACACATGTCAATAACTTTTTTTTAACTTAACATTTAACATGTTAATAACACAAGTTTTTTACAGAGTGTGCTATTTTCCGAACCTTTAAAACTTAAGGCATCTTTGCACGAGCTTAGTTTTAACTGAGTGTGTGTATAAGGGCTCTAAATCACATTTAAATTGTCTACCATACACTATGTGAATTAGAGCCCTGCGTGAATCATTTAATTTTTGTGTTATGATAGCATGCCATTAAATTTCTGCTTTGTTTAATTCAATTCTATGTGAAATAAATTGAATGTTTTTCTAATTCATTTCAAATTGAATTAGAATCATTAAATTTCCATTCAATTTTTGTTTTATCATAGTATGCCATGAAAATTCTGCTTTGTTTAATTCAATTCTATGTGAAATAAATTGAATGTTTTTTAAATTCAATTCGAATTGAATGAATGAATGAATAATTTTTATACATTTTTTGAATTTGCCAGATTTGTTTTGTGCTTTCTTTTAAGAACAAGAAGTGGAAAATTTAATCACAAAATGATGGCCCTTTCTTCTTCAAAAGAAATTGTCGTTTGAATTATTTCAGAATTCATGCCATTCATTCATTCAATTCTATTAAACTCAAAATCCTAATTAATTAATTCATATAAAACATAAAATTCGAAATAATTCATTGAATCCATTCATGCAGGGCTCTAATGTGAATTGATTGTAAATCAAAGGCTTCGCTTTGCTGGTTTGCCTTTTGCCTAATTTTGTTTCTAACTAACTAACCAACTTCCCCGTCCGCTTTCAGATGACGAAGAGGAGGAGCCGGGCAGCGTGGCCAAGAAGATGCGGCTGGACGACAGCAGCAACAACAGCAGCCTGGTGGGCGTGGCCAGCCAGCAGAAGGAGTGCCCCATCTGCAATGCGGTGTTCAGCAACAACATTGGCCTCTCCAATCACATGCGCTCCCACTACACGGCCTCGAATGCGGTGAATGCGGCTCTGGCGGCAGCCAATCGAATGACCCCCAAATCGCTTACCATCACCGCCACACCAGCGGCAGGAGGAGGAGGAGCAGGGGATTCAGCGGATGTGGTGGTGGGACTAGCATCATCGGTCTCGGCGCCAACCACACCGGCTGCCTCCGCCGCCGCCGCCGCCGCCAATGTGCCGCCGGCAATGGCCAATCAAACGCCCCAGGAGCAGGCCGTCTTCCGGCGCAGCCTCGACCAGGCGGCCGATCGCCGCTTCCGGCGGATGCGCTGCCGCATCTGCCAGCGGCGCTTCAGCTCGAAGAAGTCCTATCGCTACCACATGCTCACCGACCATCAGGTGCAGAATGTGCAGTTCATCAAGTGCAAGCTCTGCAACGCGGAGTTTGCCTACGAGAAGGGCCTGAAGGTGCATCTGTTCAAGGTGCACGGGCGGGCGATCAAGGACGAGATGATAATCAAGCAGTTCGAGTGCGAGGTCTGCTCGATTGTCTACAGTTCGGAGCTGGAGCTGCAGCAGCACAAGCGCAGCGTCCACAAGATGGCCTCTGCTTCTGGCTCGGCCTCCACATCGGCTTCCACTTCCTGCAAGATTGACGATGGCGACTCGCTGATGGACGAGGCCAAGCCCACGGCAGCGGATCTGGCTGATCTCTCCACTGCATCGGGAGCGGGGAGCAGCGGGGGTCAGGCCATGCTGGGCACTCCGCTGTACTGGTACCAGTGCAAGTACTGCCCCTCCAACTTCAACACCAACAAGAAGCTGGCCATCCACATCAACTCGCACGACGAGTTCGACTCGAACGATTATTCGTGCAAGGACTGCGGCAACGTCTACAGCGGACGCAAGAGTCTATGGGTAGGTTTCTGTTTTACCGCTGTTAAGAGAGGGGGGATATATATATACCCTCGCAGAGGATATTATGATTTCAGTCAGAAGTTTGCAACGCACTGAAGGAGACGTTTCCGACCCCATAAAGTATATATATTTTTGTCCGTCTGTCTGTCCGTCCGTTTCTACGCAAACTAGTCTCTAAGTTTTTGAGCTATCGGGATGAAACTTTCCCAAAAGTCTTCCTTCTATTGCAGGTAGTATATAAGTCGGAACCGACCGAATCGGACAACTATATCTTATAGCTCCCATAGGAAGGAACGGAAAAAAACGTTAAAAAAATTCTAGCTTCGGTGTTTTTTGAAATATTACCTTCTACTCTTGGAAATATTATTTTTTATACATTTCTGAATTTCGAATAAAAAATTTAAAAAATCGGACGACAATATCATATAGCTGCCATAGGAACGATCAAAAAAATATTGGGAAATTAAATGGAAACAAATTATAGCTCCGTTGGGTTTTTATTGTATTCTCTTCTACTGTAGGATATGATTTTTTGTAATATTTCCGAATTTTGAATTAATTTTAATCGGACGACTATATTAAAATTATTGCGATTAGTAAGTTAATAGGAACGATCTGCTAGGGTATATAAGCTTTGACTGGCCGAAGCTAGCTTCCTTTCTTGTTTTAAATATTACCTTCTACTCTTGGGAATATTATTTTTTATACATTTCTGAATTTCGAGTTAAATATTTAAATAATTGGAACTAATATATCATATTGCTGCCATAGGAACGGTCGAAAAATGAAATGGAAATTAATAGGAAAAAATGATTTCTTTGTTGATTTTTATTACATTTTCTTCTACTCTGGGATATGACTATTTTTAAATATTTCCAAATTTTGATTTTAATTTTAAAAAGATCGTACTACTATATCATATAGCTGCCATAGAAACGATCGAAAAATTAATGTGAAATAATAGGAAATTTAACATTTTTGCGATTTGTAAATTAATAGGAATGATCTTGCTAACTAATGCTTTCGTTTTTCGGCCCACAGGTGCATCGCTACAAGAAGCATCCGCAAGTGCCCGACCCCGCCGAGTGCTCGCTGTGCCGCAAGGTCTTCTTTGACCGGCAGATGCATGACAACCACACGCCCACCTGCAACCGCAAGCCGATCACCTCGACGGGTGCCCACCAGCAGCAGCAGCAGCAGCAGGATCATCAGCAGCAGCAGGCGTCTCTCCAGCCGGCCAGACGAACCGTTTTCCGGCACAAGACCGGCGATGACGAGGATGAGGAGGAGGACGATGATCAGCAGCAGGAGATGCCTAATAGCGATGGAAACGGGGTGGCGGCTGCATCCAGCAGCGCGGTTTCCGTAACTGCAGCACCCTCGCTGAAGATCCGCATACCCGAGGTGGCCTGCACCATTTGCGGGGCCCGCTTCACCGACCAGGAGCACTTCAGCAAGCACATACAGAAGCACGAGCAGGAGCTGTACGTGGACAATCCGCTGGCGGCGATGTTCGACGATGGGCCCGCGGATGCCGGGCAGTTCCAGGTGGAGCGGCAGAACGAGAACGGGGAATACGCGTGCGATTTGTGCGCCAAGACGTTCCCCCAGGTGATCGCACTCAAGGTGCATCGCAAGTGGCATTTCAGAGGTGATAGCAAGCAGGTGAGCGTTTTTGGGCTTGTGCAGCGAGGAGGATGAGCGAGCGAGCGACGGACGTCGTCGTCTGTCGCGCCACCAACAACTTTTGATGTGCTGATGATGATGATGAAGATGCCTCCGCACCAGTCGCAAAAAACAGATATCAACATCTGGTCATTGTAAACTGAATTGTATTGTACTAATCTTTGTTTTCTCTTCTCTTTCCTTTCCTCAATATCCTTGCGCAATCCTTGCAGAACCCCATCGACGGCGAAGCGACACAGTTGACCAACAACAATCACACAACCAACAACAACAACAACAACTCGATGCTGCACCTCCGCGAGCTGCATGCGGTGGGCCTGATGCCCAACCAGCAGCAGCAGCAGCAGCAACAGCAGCAGCAGAGCCTCAACAACTCGTGCAACAGCAGCAGCATGAACCACAACAACAGCAGCAGCAACAACCGCAGCAAGTCAATGAAGCGAAAACGTGAGCTGAAATGCGAGTACTGCGCCTCCACCTTCATCAGTAACAACAATCTGCGTCGCCACATGTACGAGCTGCACAAGCACGAGGTTAGCAATCTGCCGGAGCCGCCGGTGATTGTGGTGGACGATCATCTCACCTGCCGTCGCTGCCAGCTGGAGTTCGAGACAAAGGAGCTGTGGATCGAGCACAAGCTGGCCGATGCCAAGGTGGTGCGACCCTTCTGCCCCTTCCAGTGGGGCTGTGATCTGTGCGGCGAGTATTTGTCGCGCAAGGAGAAGCTGATGAATCACATTAACAATCATCTCAAGGAGGAGGTCATAGTGCCGGTGGCCACCAAGGCGGCGATTGAGAGGACGGCAGGAGCAGCAGTAGCAGGAGCAGCAGAAGCAACCGCAGCGGTGCCATCGATAGGTGAGGCAGCAGATCAAACGGAGGAGCAAACTGTGGAGAAAGATGAGGGTGCAGCAGCAGTAGGAGCAACAGCAACAGCAGCGGGGAAGCAGCAGGAAGACAGCGATGACCTGGACGAGGATGATAGCTCGGAGGAGAGCTCGGGTACGGACGACGACGAGGATACCGACGACGATGAGGAAGGCGAGGCTGAAGACGAGGACGAGGAGGCAGACGGGGGCGAGGGCGAGGACGAGGAGGGTGTGCAGCCACCCTCAGCTCAGCTGATGCCGCAGAAGCAGCAGCAGCACCAAAACGACGACGACGACGATCTCGTCGAGGAGGTCATCAGTTCGGATGACGATGACGACGATGTGGAAGATGATGGCGAGGTGGAAAGCGACGAGGACGACGATGACGAAGAGGACGACGAGGAGGAGGAGGAGGAGGAGGTGGGATTGCCGGTGCGACCGGTGCTAATGAATGGCAAGTCGAAAATGCCGCCGCTAATTGTGGCCAGTTCGGAGGACGAGGACGATGGTGTGATGCCCATCGAGGACATTATCGAGGAGGAGTTCGATGAGGATGCCGATCCGGATCCGGATGCGGATGCGGATCCCGATGCCATCGAGGAGGAGGAGGAGGTAGACGACGATGATTTAGATGAGGGCGATGCGGAGGACGAGCCGAATGTGGTGTCGACGGCCTCCTCATCGGAGAGCGAGTCCACCACAACGACCACGTCCATATCGCATTCGCATTTGAATTCACATTCGCATTCGCATTCCACGGGTGAGCGGCGTAAGAAGGCCGACGATCAGTTGAATGATCCCGGCTTTACCTGTGATCTATGTCAACTTTGTTTCGATTCTCAGGAGCTTCTCCAGAGCCACATCAAAAGCCATATCCTCAATGGGCCAAAGCTCACGGCAGCATCAGCAGAAGCAACAGCAACAGCAAGCAGCGCGGCAGCAACAACAACAACGGCAGCAAAGACGAAGCCTGACTCCAAGTCAGCGGTGCTGGCCAACAATAACAACAACAAGAGTAAGACTGTGGCTGCCACAACGGCAACAGCAACAGCAACAGCGGCAACTGCAACTGCAACTGCGACAAATTGAGTAAAATCATGCAACACCTCCATCATCTCAGTCCAAACTCACTTGAAATGTACAAAGCCAATCCACTTAAACACCGCCATCATCATCATCACCATCATCTTTCCTCATTGCATCATAATCATTTAAACAATGAAAACAACAAGAACAACATCAGCAACGCATTCCATCAACAAATCAGCCACGTTTATGTATAGCACGAGATGCGTGTGTGTGCGTGTGTGTTATATGAACCTTTTTTTCTTGCTTCTAGTCTTAAGAACCTAACTAACATATATATATAGATATATATAATCTAAGACCATTTTTTTTTCAAGTGTTAACCTAGTTTGTACCGCGCACACACTCACACACAATGCAAAATTATATACGGGATCTATATGCATCCCCTTACGGCTAAGTTTCGCTATAAAAAACAACTATAAATATATATACATTGATATAGTAGAGTTAAGCATATAGGAAAGTACGTCTTAATATGTTACACATCAATTAGCAAGCAAAAAGTTTACGACGCACCAAAGCAAGCGACAGAAAACGCAAGGGAAACCGCTCAGTTAGTTAGTAAAACCATCAGGATTTTCAAAGTATTTCACACGACAGCATGACAACAACAACAACACTCTCAAACAGCCAACAACACAAAGCGCTAGTTGTTTAGATTTCGTATCTTTCGTATTCAAACCTTGGTCTTTCCGAAATTCTGGAATCGATTTTGAAACGTGGGTCCCAAATTTCTATTATTTACTTTCAAGTCTTGAAAATCGTTTCTAAGTTTCTCTTGCGATCGAGTTTCAAGCTGCGCCTTTTCACTGAAAAAGCAGATAGCCCTGAAACTCGGTTTCAAGAGAACCTGTAGAAACTCAAGCATATTTAGAACCCATTTAAATACTAATCCAAAACTTGCATTAAATCATATTTGCATGGTAGGAATTGTATACGTTTTTAATTTTATTTTACCATACTCTGTTTGATATTGCGCATTTATTTTATATATTTTTTTAAAGCTTATAGTAAAGAATATCGCCCATTCTTGTACTATTAAATTCCTTCTTTTTTTTACAATTAAATAAAAACAGAAAATACTCACTTGAATAATTCACACTTATTTTAGACCAATTGAGTAAGTTTTATTGTTTAGTATCCTTAATGAACAGAAGAGTTTGTTCGTCCAGCCCCACATTTGAAATCATCTCGATGCGCAAGGAAGGCCAAGGTCAATAGTGGATCTATTACTTAGACACGTATTTACTTAGATTGAGATTCATTCATATAGCTAATATAACGATTTTCACATAATCTGTACATTACCTAATTTTCACACACCTACACCCACACGCATGCGCACACAACTTTAACATATATAGATACAACTGATAACGGCGGCATTATATGTAAAACTAGCTTAAGCAACATCTAAACTTTAACTGGAAATGTAGTCTAAAACGTACAAAATAAATTAAAGCAAATGCAGAAATCATATAAGCAAACTTTTGTCCCTCACGCGTTGAAGAATCGAAAAGAAAGTAATAAAAGAAATATAAACCTAAAAATATATATAGAAAACAAAATGTAGTTTACTTTTGGTTGGTTCTCGCAGTTTTCGATAACATGCTTATAGAGACCTTATCTAAAATCCAGCCGGAAATGCTTAAATAGCACCGATAACCACATGTTTTCCCATTCACTCGCTTGGCTTTAACGTTAATCGTTGAGGGCCTCTTTACAGTTCAGATGGAATCTGGACATGGAATCGAAAATTTCATGCAAATTTCATAAAACTGAGATGGAATAAACCATTTTATTTTTCCTGTGTTTTTGGTTAAAATATACAAATAAATCCTAAATCAAAGATACGTACTGTTTTGAAGAATAAATAGATTTCAGTCACATTCCGGCTAGTTTAGAAAAATAAATATTTTACCATTTTTCGCATTTTTTATTACATAACTTCGGACAAAAATTAAAATTTCCGGGTTTCGATTTGGAATTTTATAAGATAACTATTTCTATTGCTTAACCCAAAATTTTATTTTTTGGGTGGAAAATTGGAATCTTAACCTAAACTAACAACCCCCATAACTTTCTGGAAAATTAATTTTTTCATCACAATGTTTTGCAAAAATATTTTTAGGTATGCACTCCATATTTGGAGTAAAATAAAAAAAATTGGGTTGAAAATAAGAATCGGAGTTTTTGGTAAAAATATAAATTTAACTAATTTGTTTTGATCAATTCTGCTCCAATTTTTTTGTAATAATCGGTTAAATATTTAACTAATAAAATAAAGATTACATTACATTTTCGCAATATAATTTAGAGCACAAGCCCATAACGAAAGTAGGCCCATTTACCTGATTTTCTTGGCAATAAAACGAGAGAGCTCTGCCATTAACAGTGTTTATTTGCGCGTATAAACGTAGTAAAAGGCAATACAGATTAGGTCAGGCACAAAGTATTACTTTGCAGTTTGTAAAGCAATGGTGGAAATTCGTGTGGCGCCCATAGGTGTGTTTGGTGTGCAGAATAAGTTATATAAAAGAATCACAAATGTTTTGTCGGGTGCACGCATGAAGACAAAAAGAAGTAGAATCAACAAGAGGCACGACCATCGGCTCATCGGATGGCCAAATGCACACAGTTAGTTAACATAAAGAAGAGAACAGTCGAGTGCCGTTTGGTCGATAGAAACTATTTTATGCTGATAAGGCTTAAACAGATGGATCTACTAAAGCTAAGTGAAGCGGCCCGGAATACTGACGGTCTGCTCGGTCTAGGAGTACTGCGTGTGCGGGTTCACGTTGATCATCTCCATGTTGCTGCTGGGGGAACAGAAATAAGACTTTGATTAGTTCAAGAGCCCTTGGGGAGCGTTGTCAATCATTTTGGCCAGTGCCCGATAAGGACTACTATCAAACGCTACTTAAATGTCAAACGTACTTATCGCGCACCGGGCAAAGCTAATTTGGCCATGAGAAGGAATGCGGCTTCAATGGGCTATGAATTTCTCGACTCTTAATGCACTACTATGCTGTGGATGTAGGGATAAGGCAGGAAGGATGATGGTAATGAGGGATGAACGAGCGATATTCGCGATGAACTCACCTGCGATTGCATCGCATGTGGATAAAAAGCAGGGCCAGGCCCAGTGTGATGCAAATGGCGCCCACGACAATGTACGCAATGCCCAGGAAGGGGTTCTTGCCACCCAGCACGGAGGTGGTGGACAGGATCATGCGCTTGGTGCCGTCGAACGAGACCACTGGATATTCTAAAGGGGCAAATAAAAGAGGAATATAAGGAAATAGATCATCCAAAATGCATCAGTACTTACGGTACGTGATATGCAGCGTATAATTGCCGGCCTTCAGACCATTCGCATAGGTGCTGTCCGTCTGGTTGAGCCGGCGATATAGCTTCCGGAAGCTGGGCAGAGCGGCTGTGCGCATCCACACGATCAGATCCTCGTTCTGGAAGCCGTTGTTCTCCGGATTCTCCGGGTCCAGCTCGGCCAGGCCCTTCTGCCAGAACATGGGCTTCGAGAAGTCCTTGAGGGAGACGTTGAGATTGCCCTCGGGATTGCGAAACTTGACGCGCTTGTCCGACGGCCAGGCGATGCCCGTCTTTAGCAGCTTGATCTCGGTGCCGGCCTGCATCAGGGTCAGCGTGTCTGGAAGAAGGAAACACAATTAAGGTTGCTGTTGAAGGGCAGCAAAAGGGGGCATGGTCATTTCGCACCATTGAACAGCGAGTTGGCAATGGCGCCGCATGGCGCGATGGGCTTCCCGGACTCCGGATCGTAGGCGAAGGGGGCGCAGTCCGTGCTGGGCGTTTGCGACAGGTGACCCAGCAGCTGCTCGTCGTCCCGTGACTTCACATAGCGACGGTGGTTCTGGTAGTAGTTGGTCAGTCCGTAGTACATGTACACCACGCCCTTCGAAAGAAACCAAAACGTTTAGGTCATCTCGAAAAACTTAAATCTTAACATGATTAATACTTTTTAATGGGAAATAAGGCTTAAGATTTGAAGCAGTGTTATTATTCATCTCAAGAACTATTGATTTTAAAATATTATAATCAAGAGCAGAGGGAAATATCGTATTTTGCTCAGTAAATACAAGAAATGCTTTTAAATTTAATTTATTTGACGGTATTAATTTTAGAAAATTAAAAAAAAAACGCAAATTTAATAGGTTTTTTTATAAAAAAATTAAAACATGTGCGGTTAACAATACATTATTCACTTCATAAAGTACAAAAGTGCTGTGATAAAACCTTTTTGGATTATGAAAACAATGTGTGGAACAGAATATCCAAGTTAAATTATACTTAAACTCAGGATTTTACTCAGTAAATACAAGATATGCTATTGAATATAATAGATTTAAGGGTATTTCTTTCAGAAAGTTAAAAAAACATGTGCGACTAGGCACACTACCTGCATTATTCACTTCATAAAGTACAAAAGTGCTTTGATAAAACATTTTAATATTATGAAAACAATGTGTAGAACAGAATACTCAAGTTAAATTATACTTAAGCTCAGGTTTTACTCAGTAAATACAAGAAATTTAAGGGTATTAATTTCAGAAAGTTTTAAAAAGCCCAAATGAAATAGGTTTTTTATAAAAAAAAACTAAACATGTGCGCTTAGGAACACATTGCTCTCACACTACCTAAATTATTAACTTTATAAAGTACAAAAGTACTTTAATAAAACATTTTAAGATTATGAAAACAATGTGGAAACAGAAGCCAAGTTAAATTATACTTAAGCTCAGGTTTTACTCAGTAAATACAAGAAATTTAAGGGTATTAATTTCAGAAAGTTGTTATTTGTATTTACTCAGTAAATACAATAAATGCTATTGAATTTAATATTTTTAATATTCCTTTCAAAAAGTTAAAAAAACATGTGCGATTAGGCACACTACCTACATTATTCACTTCATAAAGTACAAAAGTGCTTTGATAAAACATTTTAAGATTATGAAAACATCGTGGGAACAAAATACCCAAGTTAAATTATACTTAAGCTCGGAGTCCTGTGCTATGATGATGAATTAAAAGCACTTTAGGGCAAACCCAGGGTCTCTAGATCCCCCAACTCACATTGAAGTCCGTGGGCAGGACGAAGGGCACCTGGCAGGTGCACTGGCCGCCAGCGTTGGCCTCCAGGTACTCGGCGCAGGTGGCGTTGCCGCCGGAGGGCCTGCACTTGGTGTAGTCGATGATCAGCTCGTTGGCGGTGTTGCTCAGGTGCAGCAGGACCACGCCGATGGGTATGAAGAGCACCCCGATCACGAAGAATGTGGGCAGGACGGTGCGGGCGGTGAGGACGGGCTGCCAGGCGGGCAGGCGCTGCTGCTTGAAGGCCGAATCTGTGGATGGGCGGTAGGAGTGGGCGGAGAACGTGAGCGGGAGTGACCAGGCGTGACCTCATGGTTTATGCAGGGCGGCCAAGGATTGGCCCCAAAAATCGATTTGCCATTGGAAATTAGTCATTCTCCTTATCACTTGTTACGCGCACAAGTGTGCGTGTGCTTGTGCTTGTGCGTATGTGAGTGTGTGTGATTGTGGAGTAGGAGTGGGAGTGAGAGTGGGAATCAAACTGGGTTTTCACCTGAAGGTCGCTTGGACTTGGCCGCCGCACTCTCCTCATTCTCCGCTGGCTGCGTGGACATGGCGGCTTATCTGGTTTCTCTGTGGGATCGGCTGGCTCCTCGGAAAGCTCCTTGACTCGTCCACACGCTGCAAGTTGGTCCAATTGAATAAAGTAAATACAATAAATTTTCGTATCAGCGATGGCACAACATGAGTCATCGATATACATCGATATCGCGAGTGGCTAGTATCGGTAAAATGTTGCGCATTTAATTTTTCTTAGTGCTTTTAGTGCTAATTAATGTAATTAATTGTAATAATTTAAAAAAATATTTACAGGAATTTTAAAACGTATATTGTATTGTATTTTTTGTATTGTATTGCAAACATAACTACATTCTGCACTATTTAATATCGATGAGTTACCACTATTCCCATCTCTATTTAACTGAAAAATGTAACCACAAACCATAAATAAAATAGACGATAGTTATTTTAAAACGAAATATTTAGGTAGTTTTTTCCCTATTCTCTATAGAACCCTTTGCGATATATGTCACATTAAATGAGAAAGTTTCAAGAGCCTCTCCAAATTATCTGTAACTTCCCGTTTCGGAGCACCGAGCCCAAAAAGAAATATGAATTGACCTTAGCCACCCCCGCAAACATCGATAGGCAGAGTAAGCTAAGAGTACCGATAACGCGCCGCTTGCAACCCTGTCGTGTGGAGGCGGCGTTTTCGTTGTTGTGTCAAAACAATAAGCGACCAGCAGAATATCAGCACACCCATCGGCCAGGCGAAGATAAAGAACGGTTAGCAGAGATTAGAGACCCACCACCACCCACAGAGCCGATCCCACAAAGAGATCACCATCCACCCCCCGGAGAACAGCGGCAGCGGCAATGAAAATCACAGTGACCACCAGCGATGACAAGGTCTTCTGCTTGGACGTGGCCCAGGATCTGGAGCTGGAGAATCTCAAGGCCCTCTGCGCGATGGAGATCGGTGCCGAGGTGGCCCACATAGTGCTCATCTTCAACGGACGCGAGCTCTCCAGCGACAAACAGACGCTGCAGCAGTGCGGCGTCGGTGATGGCGACTTCATCATGCTGGAACGACGCAGGAGCGCCAATCGGTCAGGTGAGAGAATCGGAATCGGAATTGGAATTGGAATTGGAGATGGAACTGGAAGCGGTGAGAGCGGGGAGAGCCATTAACCCTTAAGTGGGTCACGTCTGGCGGGGACAGGGGCGGATCTTTAGTGGAGTTTTTTTTTTTTGGGGTGGAGAGTTAGTCGGGGGGAATTGGTTAACCCATAATCACTTATACACACATGCGAAGTGATTTCCTGTTGATATTATTGATATTGGAAACCGACATTCGAGAAATTAATTAGCATTTTGAGATGATGAAATTTAATTTGGTTAATCATTTTATATATGTATTATTCTTGTGGTAATATTTGATTTATAAAAATGCATAGAAAGCTAAAAAGTTTTCACGGTGTGGTGAAATTTGAACTCTGAATATTTGCCTGGTTTTTTTGTTTGCATTTTTTTAGTGTTTTGGAAAAGCGCAGAGGAAATCTTTTTGCGGCGCAGTTGGTGTTAAAAATAAACGCCTTGTTTCGCCTGCCTTTCTTTTGGCAAATTCCAAAATAACAAACAGGGGAACGGGAACACTGGAAGTGGAAGTGGCTTATCTGTTTCCACTGCAGCGGCAGTGGGAGAGATAGAGAGAGAGGGGGGGTAGAGGGAAGGCAATGGAAGTGGAGGAGCAGCAGCAGGTGCTCTGCCTCCAAGTCACGGATCCGCCCACCTCACCTGCCCCCCCTTCGGCCGCCTGTTTTGTTGACCCCTGCATGCGCATTTGGCCTTGTCAGTTTGTCCATTGGAATGGGATCGTGATATAGAAATGTTGTTATACTATGTGCGTATCTATGTATGTATGTATTTTTGCGACTGCAGACAGGTGTGGGCGGTGAACAATTTTTGATCTGATTTTACCATTGCACAGCACAAACTGTATACAAGCATACATATGTACATATGTATGTACATACTTTGGACTCCATAGCATAAGATCCATTTTTTTTTCGTTCGTATATTAATGGATATATTTTAAAGATAAATCTATGTAAACAGTCAAATCAAAAGTATATTAGTCAGTACATATGTATGTACTTATTAGTAATAGTAATAATAAGTTATTTCAGCTTAAAACTTTGAAGATTAATATTTTGTTTATATTAGATCATCGACAGATTATGTAAAAACACCCATTTATGGAGCCATATCAATATACATATGTACATAAATCTCTTCGTACTTATTTCGGTAATCTCTTAAATAGGAATTATTAAAAATTTTCCACATTTTATTGTTTTTGAAGATAATGGATATGGAGTACTGCTTGCTCCCTCTTTTTCATACTGCTTCATTTATTTGGGATTCTTTTGCGAAGAGGGATTATAACTTAGATCTTTGAGTTCTTTTTACCATATATTATATATATTTTATATATTTAATAAATCAAATGAAGACTTTTTTGTAACTTTTCAACATTTTTGCTGTACAAATGTTCCAAGTGACTTAAGAACTATAATATTATAGATTCCATTTAATGTGTTTAGATAAATCAAGGAAAAAATGTCCCTTTCCTATATGCAAGCTCTACACCCAGCAAATCTTCAGAGTAACTTAAAAACTAAAATAGAATAGATTCCATTAAAGGGTTTTAAAATTTAGATATATGTATATTTTATATATTGAACAATTCTAATAAAGACTTTTTTTGTTTTTAACATGTTTCTTGTACAAACTAAAAAACTATATTTAGATAAATCGAGAACAAAATGTCCCTTTCCTACAAAGAAAGTGTATATAATTTAATCTACAAGCATCTACACCCTACAAATATTCAGAGTAACTTAAAAACTATAATATTATAGATTCAAGGACAAAATATCCCTTTCCTACAAAGTAAGTGTATCTAAGATAATCTAATCTATATGCAAGCTCTACACCCTGCAAATCTTTAGAGTAACTTAAAAAAAACTTTAATATTATAGATTCCATTAAAGATGTTTTACACAAATCAAAGACAAAATATTATTTTCCTACAAAGAAAGTGTATGTAATCTTAAATGTATACACCCCTAGACCCTGCAAATCTTCGGAGTAACTTAAAAACTATAATATTATGGATTCGATTTAAGAAAGAAATTGTATCTAATCCAATCTACATGCCCTCGCTACTTTCAGGTGGTGCGAACCCGGCGATCAGCACGCTGGACTTCAGCAGCATCGCAGTGCCGGGCACGAGTTCGGGCGGCAGTCCGCCCTCGAGGAGCGCCCAGCAGCAGCTGGGAGCGCAGCTGCAGCAGCAGCAGCAGTTCAACAACCTCACAGACATCCCCATGACCGACGAGTTCAACGTGAACTTCGACGACGACCCGGCGACAGTGCGTCAGATGTTCCTGTCCAGTCCCGAGACGCTGTCGCTGCTCCGGCAGTACAATCCCCGTCTGGCGGAGGCCATCGATTCCGGCGACCAGGAGACCTTCGCCCGCCTGCTCCGCGAGCACATTTCGGAGCGAAAGCGACGCAACGAGCACCGCATGCGCATGCTGAACGCCGATCCCTTCGACGAGGAGACGCAACGGCTGATTGCCGAGGAGATCAAGCAGAAGAACATCCAGGACAACATGGCGGCGGCCATTGAGTACAATCCGGAGATCTTCGGCACGGTGACCATGCTGTGAGTACTACTATTAAGGGGGGAGATACGTGTAGAAAAAATAAAAATTCAATTTTTTTTATTCCTTAAATTGGTAGAATAACTCTCTAAGAATGTGTCATGAAAGTTTCACGAAGAAATTCGAACTATTTTGGAAGTTATACCAGGATGACGGCACCCATTACTTTACTTTAAATGCCTTTAAATGCCTCGATTATCATACTGCTTTTACAGAAATGTTTGTTATTAAATTGCCCACTGTCTGAACCTACTTAATGTAGAATTTTGTACGTTTAAATATTTTTTGATAGCCAAAAACAACAAAAAAAAATTATGAAAAAAACAGATTTTTAACTCTGAAAGAGTGCCACAACCATGGTTTTTGAGATATTCTTTGTAAGTTAGGTTCAGACAGTTTCTGCATTATTTTTTTTTTTTAATATAGCCCGACAAAAAAATTCCCACGGCCGTCGTTTTTAAAAATTTAAAAGCAAAATAAAAATTGGTTAAAATAATATAAGAACAATGTAATCAACATGCCAAGTTACGAAATCCCAGCACAATTCCTCATTGGTTAAAAAAAATCACGAAAAACTTGAAAAAATTACAGTTCTATATGTATCTCCCCGCTTAACTATTAACTGGTTTTAAAACCAATAGATTAAATGCCATCTGTGTTTTGTGTAGCTACATCAACTGCAAGGTGAATGGCTATCCGGTGAAGGCCTTCGTGGACTCGGGCGCCCAGACGACGATCATGAGCAAGGACTGCGCCGAGCGGTGCCACGTCAACCGGCTGATAGACACGCGCTGGAACGGAGTGGCCAAGGGCGTGGGCACACAGCCCATTCTGGGCAGGATTCACATGGTGCAGCTGCAGATCGAGAACGATCATCTAACGTCCAGCTTCACGGTGCTGGGCCAGCAGCCGATGGACATGTTGCTCGGCCTGGACATGTTGAAGCGACATCAGGTGGGGCCCTACATTAGTGTTGGGTAAAAACTGCTCATTTGGGTGAACAATGAGTCAACCCACTCAGTTTGCTTACTTGTTCACTTACTCACTTGTTTACTTTTTCACTTGCTCACTTGTTCACTTGCTCATTTGCTCACTTGTTCGCTTGCTCACTTGTTCACTTGCTCACTTGTTCATTTGTTCACTTGTTTACTTTTTCACTTGTGTTCACTTGCTCAGTTGTTCATTTGTTCACTTGTTCACTTGCTCACTTGTTCATTTGTTCACTTTTTCACTTGTGTTCACTTGCTCAGTTGTTCATTTGTTCACTTGTTCACTTGCTCACTTGTTCACTTGCTCACTTGCTCACTTGTTTACTTGTTCACTTGCTCACTTGTTCACTTTTTCACTTGTTCACTGGTTCACTTGTTCACTTGTTCACTTGTTCACTTGCTCATTTGTTCTGCTCTGAGAAAACAGCTCATTGTCTGTAAAACCGTGTGCAAAATGCATCCTAAAAGTAAAAAAAATACTTTTTGTGCCAAAAACAGCAAGAGAGCAACTGAGCAAGTGAACAGAAAAGAGTAAGTAAGAGAGCAAAACTGAGCAAGTGAACAAAAAGGAGAAAGTGAGCAAAAATGAACAAGTGTACAATAAAGAACAAGTTCGAAGGAACCTGTTCACTCACTCAGTTTAGTTCAGTTTTGTTCACTCACTCATGAGCAAGCCAACACTACCCTACATGGGATTTGCTTTGAAGACTTTGCAGACTGACAACTGATTATCCCTTGCAGTGCCTCATTGACTTGCAGCGGAATCTGCTGATTATCGGCACCACCGGCACAACGACGCCGTTTCTGCCGGAGAGCGAGCTGCCGGTCAGCGCCCGGCTCACAGGGAACTCGGAGGAATCGATGGAGCAGGAGGCCATTGCCAATGCCATCGAGCAGAGCAAGAGGGAAAGTGGCGGCGGCTTAAGTGGAGCTGGCGGCGGACCCAATACCATTCAGCCGCTGGACCGATTCACCGAGCAGGACGTCACCGATCTCATGGCCCTCGGCTATCCGCGCAGCGATGTGCTCACCGTGCTGCGGCTGTGCGGCGGCAACAAGCAGGCCGCCAGCTCCGTGCTGCTCAACCGCAATGCAGCCGCCTCGGGCGCAGAGCTCAGCTGAACGCGGCTAGACGAGGATCCCTAGTACTCGAGCAGAACTCCCCACAGCCAGAAACCGGATTGCAATAGGATGATGATGACGAAATACTCCGAGCAATACCAAAAACTTAGCCACGCCACATCTAAAGTCAAGTAAATGATCAGTTAGAGGGTAAAACACACACACAGAACAGAAACAACAAATAAGCAATGAAAACCGAAACGAAAACCTTTCTAATTTAGTGAAATTTTTATAAACTGAAGCCACTTTTTTATACGAATCGTTTGTTACGATGTACAATATCTAATTTTTAAAACAGAGCCAGGGTTGGTTTTTTCTAGAGAATATTGAGTGGAGGATCGAGTAGGCGATTTAATCTATTATTAACTAAGCGAAAAGGAAGGAAAGTAATTGGACAAACTGGACGGTGATGGAACCAAGCCGCATCAACGAAAACATTAACTGTATTGCAAGAGAAATACAAGAAAAAACATAAACAAAAAACGGAATTAAGTACGCCTGACTATTAAAATATATTACAATTATACACATTTAAAAACATTTATACACAATTTGAACTAGTATTAAGGCTCTGTCAAGCTAAACTGAATTGGGTCAATAAAAGGTCGAGAGTATTGTTTTGGATTTGAAAAGGAAAGATGAACGAGCGCATTTTGATTTCTCGCCTCCTCTTTAATAGCATTCGTTATGTTATGTATACTGTTTACTGTATATAAATTATAAAATTAGCTGTTTCTACCGGACAAAAGCACATGTCTGGATTTATTTTAGCAAAAAATCGTTTAATCATTTGTTACAGTTGCTATAGTTGTGTCCGTCTACGCTGGCTACGCTAATCCTCCTCCTCCTCGTCATCCTCGTCGTTCGTGCGACCGGCCGCCGCCGCCGAGCCCTTGTGGTTGAACTCCTTCTCCGGATCGAACTGCATGCCCTCCTGGTCGGCGCCATCCTCCTCGTCGTCGTCGCCGGCCACCTGTGCGTTCTCGGCCTCGGCCCGCTCCAGGCGGCGGGCCAGATCCGCCTCGTCGATGGCCGTGACCAGCTTGGGCGCCATGATCACCTTGAACTCGCCCTCGTACTCGATGATCTTGGCGCGTATGTTCTCGATGGCCACCTCCAGGGCCTTCAGGCCGTCTGTCTTCTTGGTGGTGGACGTGGTCATCACATAGCTGCAAAGGGTTGAATGCGGATATTAGTTAATTGAGCCAATAATTCATTTTAATTATGAAACAATAACTAATTTATGCAAGAAGACACATCTACAGTTTTAGGAAAACAATTCTCACTTATGAAAATAATTACAACTTACAAAATTGCCAAAACTGATATTTAAAGGAGTTTATATACCACATTTTAAACAGAATTCATAGGTCTTTTCTAGCGAAAGATACATATGTATTTTACAAACTAACATCATTAAAATCATCCCATTTCTTGAAAAAGCCCAAATAAATTTTAAATAATAAATAAAAATGTATCTAAATCGACACCTCGAAAAAACCCAAATTAAGCTCAAAATCTAAATTCAAATAATAAAAATAAAAATGTATCTAAATCAACACCTCAGACGAGCTGAAGGCCTTAGCTGCTAGAGCTCTCAATCTCAGTTAGCTTATAGATTTAACTTTAAGTTTGCTTTATATAAAATAAAATAAAATTTTACAAACTGTCTGCCCAAGTCATTAATTCAATTAAATCATTTTAATTTATGATTTCTTATAATCTTAACTCCTATACTTTGTACTCCTAAGTTCTCTAAAGTAAGATAAATCTTTTTATAAGCCATTTCATTTAAAATGTTTAAATTACATCATATGAACCCAACATAACGCAAACGTAGCTTGAACACGATTTCGCATAAATCGGAGAAAAACAGAGCATAGATCTTGCAAGATCTTGAACTTAATACGGTAGTTAGCAAAAACTATTGCAATAAATTGAATTTAGCACTACATAAGCCAAAAAACTATTTAATTAGCCCTCTAAAGCAGCTAAATTTCATGATTTTAAACAAAAATCTGTTTCTAGAAAGACCACTCAAACAATTTAACGAAGGATTTAAGCCAAGAGTTAGCCTACACACATCATAAACCAAGTATTAGTAATATTATAATTCGATTTTGGACTCAATAGAGGAACAGGGAACTCTGGAGTGTTCCGCCCATGCTACATAATACGAATAACTATCCAGAAAAGCCCCTGGAGGGATACTCAATCAATCAGAGATCAACTCACAGAGGCGGCGCTATCAGGTTGATGCGGATGGGCAGCTCCTCGGTGCTCAGCTCCAGGCCCTTGGTGAGCGAGGCCTTGACGGCGTCGATGCCCTCGTAGCCGTAGCAGGAGCACTCGATGTCCGCACGGATCTTGACGGTGGGCGAGACCAGCTTGCGCTTGATGTTGCTCAGCAGCACCTCCTTGGTCTCCGCGTCCAGGTTGCACTCGTCGAAGACGGACGGATCGGTGACCGACTGCTTGAAGATGTCGTAGGCGACCGTCTTGCTGTTGTACTTCTTCTCGAAGTACCAGGCGGTCTTCTGGTAGAGCTCCTCCAGCTTCTCGTTGCCCTCGTAGCCGAGAATGTCGGCTACATGGCGGAGCAGCGAGTTGATGGCCTTCGCCTTGGCAAAGCGCTCCGTGCACTTCTCGACGTCCTCGGGCGAAACGCGACGCTTGGAGAGATCGATGTAGCCCTTCTCCTTGTCCACACGGATGACCACCACCGGCTCGGTCTTGCCGACGCGGATCAGCTTGTTGATGGAGCGGATGCGGCGGCGGGAGAGCTCCGAGAGCAGGATCATGCCCTCGATGTTGTTGTACTCCAGCAGATGGACGTAGGCGCCCATCTCGGCGATCGACAGCACGTTCACCATGACGACATCCTCGATCTCCGGATACCGCTCGTTGTAGAAGCGCGACGTGAGGGCCATCTTCGAATCGTTGGTCTGTTGGTCTGTGGCCGAAAAACGGGCAAAATGCACTTTTCGAAAAGAAAAACGTGTACAATTTCTGCCGAGCGGGCGCAAGAAGAAGAAGAGGCGTACAGTATTGCAATGGCGAGATATCGATTGCCGCCCGCCGGCTATCGATAAGCGGCACGCCGCTGGTCTGGTCACACTGCCGAGGCGGGGCAAGATATCGATTGGTATCGACCGGTAGACCGTTAAAGGTATTCCAAATTTTAAAAGTTCTTACTTTCCCTCCAAAAATCTTTTAACTGACTGTAAAAATTAAATTCATTTTCCATTAGTAAGAATTTACACAATAGAATTTATAAAGATTTCTAGCCATTTCTCTTCAATTACTATTAATTCTTACTCATTTCTTTCTTATTTCCTGGTGCTACAAGGATTTCCTTAGAAATTAATGCACTAGTCACATAAACAATATTAAGAATATATCTAACATTTAATACAATTAACAATTGAAACTGACGGTTTAAGTAATTGTTGAAAATTTAAATTTAATTAGTTTTATTATTTAATTTTATTAATAAACGAAAACCATTCAATTCGTATTACTATCTTATAAACTACGATTGTGCTGCTTCAGCAGCTCTTTTAAGTCATTAAACCTTAAGCGTCGTAGCGTCTTTCTTATGCATAAACCAGCTAAGCGCTTTTCTCCAAAGCCATGTGCGCTATCGAGTGCTTCCTTAGACTGGCAGCCTGCGCAAAAGTTTTCGGGCAGAAGGAGCACTTGTAGCGGCGGTCGTTCGCGTGGTCCCGCATATGCTGCGCCAGATCAACCTGAAGTAGGAAGGCTATCGGGCAGCTGGAGCACTTGAACTGCGGCTCCGAGGTGTGCCGCCCTAGCTGGTGGTCCAACAGGTTGGCCCGCAGGCGGAACTTCAGGGGGCAGTGGGCACAGGCGAAGGCTGTTTCTGTCGAGTGCTTGAGCATGTGCCTCCTGAGATCGCCGCGCCTGGCAAAGGCCAACGGACAGACGGCGCACTGGTGGCTGGTGGTGACCTTCGTGTGACTCAGAAGGTGCTCATCCAGGTCCCATCTGGATGGCATGACCTCCAGGCAGTGGGAGCACTGGTACAGGTCGTGACTCAGCATGTGCCTCGTCAGCCACCGAAGACTTCCGTAGGCCATCGGGCAGTGATCGCACTTAAAGGGCAGCCATTCCCCCGTGTGGATTTTCATGTGTCGCTCCAAATTCACCTTCGATTTCACAACTAGCGGACAGTGGGGACACGAGTATTCCCAATCGTCATCATGCTTCTGCTGGTGTCGACGAAAATTCCCTTTTTTGCTAAAGGTCCTGGGACACCGATCGCATTTGTAGGGATTTTGAAGGTCCCGCAGGTGCTTCTGAAGCCATTTATCGTTCGCAAAGATCTTCGGGCAGTGGGAACACTGGACGGGCACCATTTCTTCAACCAAATCAAGGTTTTCAAGGTCCTTATCATCATGAATAGTGGACTGTTCTGGGGAACCTTCTGTTATGCTGATGAATTCAGCGGGCTCGGTCTTTATTTGGTCCAAAAACGGCTGGGATTCGGTTGGCTCTTTCTTGACTTCGAATTCTACGGCATTATGGAACGTCCCACTGTCTAAAGATGATACGATAGAGACCTCCTTCTCAGGGATTTCCTTCTTGACTTGGAACTGATAACTACGGGGCTCTTTAATAAACTCCTCCTTAACTTGGCAGTCAAAATCATAGAATACTTCTTCAACTTCGTCGTCTTCTGGCAAATCGAATACTTCTTCCACGAGCTGGTCTTCGTCCAGGAACTCCTCCTTTATAGACTCCATTGCCCCGAGTCCAAGTAACTACGAAATATCAGTAGCACGTTGTTAATTGTTTAGCAAAATCCATTTAAAAATGTTTTATTTACTTATCGAACATAAAACATATGTTTACCTATCGATATACTACCGACCTTTGCAGTGTGACCTTCTGAAGCAGCACATTTAAGCGATAGTTAATGGCTGTATGATATAAAATATTTAATATTTTTAGATAATTATGTTTTTAATCTTTATAAATAATTGAAAGATAAAGATTGAAAAAATAACACACATATTTATTTTAATTAGAACCAGAAAAAAACCAAAATCAAGCAAAATTTACAAGGATATCTTTAGGTGCATATGAAACATATGGCAAGTAATGAAAAGTTTCCAATTTTAATATAATCAATATTTTAGATAATTATGTTTCTTTATAATTAATTGAAAGATAAAGATTGAAAAATAATATATCAATAATTAGAACAAGAAAGAAAACCAAAGTCAAGAAACATTTACAAGGATATCTTTAGGTATGTACATATGAAACATACGTCAAGTAATATGACAAAAGGTCCCAATTTTAATATAATCAAAAATGGTTTGGCTTTATTTATTAGATCAACCACGACTTTATCTACAAATGATCTATTTATTGTAATCCCAGTTCACTGCGAGCTTTCTACTTGGGAAAGGTAAGCCCGCGCCTCGTCGGCCTGAAATTGATTAAATCGGATAAGAGATATGACTAATTAAATTGGCCAGACACTACGTACGGTTTTGAACCAAACGGAAGGTCTGAAGATTAATCGCGATAGGAAGCCCATTTCCGATCGTGGGGCAATGGCATGCATGTGAAGGTGTTTTACCGTTATGAACGGCGGCAGGTGGAACCCAAAAAGCGCATCCTGGACGGAAATTCCCTTGCCAGTTAGGAACTCCTTCAAGCCGCTCTCCATCCGTGAGACTAGAAATAATGTTGAATAAATATATATTGATAACATTCCTGTTGCTCTTACCCAAGGGATCGTGGGATTTGTCCAGATCCTTTAGGCTGATGTAGTGCTTTTTGGTTACAGCCAAATAATGGTGCTGGGAAGCGGGCTTGATGTCCTTAAAGATGACAAACTCATCGGTTTCCATTTCCAAAACACTTGTGGGCTCCTGGCCACTGGATATTTTGCAGAAAATGCAGTTGTCCTCCGCCATGGCTTAATATACGATTAAATTTAGTAATATAAAATATGGGAGTTTGTACTTTGGCAGCTGATTAGGTGCACTAAGCAGGGCTGCCAATTCCGCTTTTTTCCCGCCAAATCTGGATTTATTTCTTGGATAAGAAAAGCTTTTTATTACGCTTAAAGTGTTCCGTAGGACAAATTAACAATATACTTTTGACTTAATCATCATTATAATAATAAGCTAATTATTATTTAAGTTATCGAAGGAAGGTGTCTCCGCTAAGTCGATATGTTTGACCGATCTGCCGGTAAGGTAACTCCTTCTCAGCGATGGCAAAACCTCGATGTCAACAAATCGATATCAACAAAAACATGCTCGATGCATCGATGTTTTTCCCATCCCATCCCCACGGATTCGCTCATTTGAAAAAAAAAAAACATGGCTGGAAGAGGTGGTTATGAACACGCTAGGTAAATATTATTAATTATTTTTGCAATCGCGAGCGCTACTTGTGGTCCGCAGGGCGCCGGTGATGGTGAAAGTGGCCGCGGGGCGATCGGTTTGCGCGAGGGCCGACAATCCGGCCAAAATGTGTAATAATGCACGCGGTTTTTGGGGTTTGGGCAAAAAAAGGCAACACCAGCCCACCAACACACGCGCACGCTCTCGCCTCGCCGCTCGCACACTCGCGCACCAAAACGTATATGTATGCTGTGTACGTGTCGGTCGTTGGTCGGCGCCGCCTTTGTGTGAGTGCGCGTGAGTGTTTGTGTGCGTGTGTGTGTGCGGGACAGTGTGCGTGTTTTTTTTTCCAACATTCTTTTTCGGTTTTTTTTTTCTGTCGATTCGATTCCACCGCCTGCGTTGTTTTTCTTTTCGGAAAACTCTGCTGCTGCCGGCGTCGGCGTCGCTGCCGGCTTCGGCGTCGACTGCAGCACCAGCAGCGCACCGGCGGATTTTAAATTAACCCCCCACCCAATCAAAAAAAAAGAAGAGAAAAGAAAAGATTCCGAAAATAGATGCAAAATCCATGCAGAATGCAGTTTTTGCCAAAAAGCGCGCGCGATTTCCCCCCACATGACACCTGTCCCCCCGCATTTGTTGTTGTTGTCATTTGTGCCTGCATCTTTGTTGACTGTTCGCCGGGAATCGGAATCGGAATCCGAATCCGAGCCAGCATTACCCAGATATTCCAGCCATGTGCGTTTTGCCTTCTCCTTTTCCCTCTCCTCTTCCTCAGGGGGTGGTGGTGGCGCCCTCTGCCTGCCGCCCCCACAGTCGCAATCAAGAAGAAGACGCAGACACACCCCCATTAATTGGATTCTCGGTTTCAAGGTTCCGAACAATGGAACATTGAGAATTACTAGTTTCGGTTATTTCGGTCGACAGGATGTAGATCCTGAAATCCTTAACGCAAGTTTCTAAGGACTTTGTCTTTTTAGCATCAGCATTCATTTCTTAGAAATCATGTATTAAATGCATTGTAGTGAACTTGTTCAAAATACTCTTAACAAGAGCCAGTATTATCCATTATTATTATGCAGAAATCTTCCAGGATTCCTTAGAATAGGATAGCATAGGATTCTTAAGATAGGATCCACAGTTACTATGCAGAAATCTTCCAGAATCTTTTAGTACATATATAGAAAAACAACGACTGATAGATAGGATCCATAGTTTTAACCGAAAAGCCATTGTCGATCCATTATTATTATCCAGAAATATTCCAAGATTCCTTTAAATAGGATAGCATAGGATTCCTTAGATAGGATCCATAGTTTTAACCAATCCATTATTACTATGCAGAAATCTTCCAGAATCTTTTCGTACATATACAAAAACAACGACTGATAGACAGGATCCATAGTTTTAACCGAAAAGCCATTGTCGATCCATTATTATTATGCAGAAATATTCCAAGATTCCTTAGTACTTACACGAAAACAATGACTTATAAATAGGATCCTTAGTTTAACCCATATTATCACGAAACTAACGTTTTTTCCTATATAATATAAAACATAAGTTTTTTTTTTGCTTAGAAATTTGTTACTGTTTCCTACTCAAAAGCCAATCAAAAAAGCCCTATTAACGAACCATTCCTCAACCATTTCAGAGGCGGATTCGGTGGAGATCGGCCAACCAAGCAGTTGCCCACGGAACCGCCCTTTATCGCATTCGTCGGCAACCTGCCGCAAGGCCTGGTGCAGGGCGATGTGATCAAAATATTCCAGGACTTTGAGGTGAAGAACGTGCGGCTGGTAAAGGATCGCGAAACGGATCAGTTCAAAGGCTTCTGCTACGTGGAGTTCGAGACGCTGGAGAATCTGCAGCGGGCGCTAGAATGCGATGGTCGGATCAAACTGGACGACCTGTCGGCGCCGCTGCGCATCGATATTGCCGACGGTCGTCGGAAAAATGATCGGTAAGCAAAGCCAGGCCTTCGAATTGGTACATCGTCAGTGGGAAATTGTAGAGGGAAGAAAACCCTTGAATACGTTTCCCCCACGGCCTCCAAATCGTTTCCTTATCATTTGCCAAATGAGCTAATCACATTCCTGGACCTTTTCTTACAGCCCTGGTGGCGGTGTTGGCGGCGGCGGCAACGGCGGCATGACCCGCGGCGACGGCAGAGACTTCCAGAAGCGCGGCCCACCCCGCCAAGGCGGCAGCAGTCAGTCCTACAGCCGGGGAGGTCCTGGCACTGGCGGCGGTCGCGAAGGCGGCGGCGGATCGGGTAATCGCGGCGATAGTAGAGGTTCGTACAATGATAGTTATGGTGGTCACAATGATAGAAGTCGCGGCGGCGGCGGCAGCGGCGCGGGCTCCGGCGGTGGCATGAATAGAGGATACAATGGTAAAGCATTTTTATCTGCCGTCCAACCAACCAACCAACCAACCAATCAATCAATCAACCAACCAAAAACACGTAGCTGCATCCCTCGTAGTGCCGCCAAAAAGTAGTTGATTCTGATTACGTATTACGATTCTGATTCCGCCTCCGATCATGATTCAAAAACACCAAGTACTAATTCGATTCGAATTCGGTCGCATGGCAGGAAGACATATCCATGCCAAAGTTCTCGAAACTGATCCTAGAATCTCCCCTTCTGTTACCGTTTCCGTTTCCATTTTCGTTTCTATTCCTTCTTTGTTCTCCTGCGGTTCTTCATGCTGATCCTGAGTTGGTTTTGCTTTACTTTTCCTTGCCAGTTTCTTATGGGTGGGTCAAAACTAGGGTTTTCGCAAGGCTTTTAAGGGTTCTTCCTTATTTGTAATATAAAAAATTCAAGAATTTATTTTAAACAAATATTTATTTAGCTCATTTAACTATGTAACTGTGACTATAACTAAATTTAGTTTTCATTTTTGATTAGCACTTGAAAAAAATGTTGATAAATTTGTAAAAATTTAACTTAGTATACTTTCATTTTTAAATTTATATGGAGAATTGCTCTGTAAAAGATCTATACAATGACTTTTTGGTAGAGCAGTTTTGCGATTTATCATCGAATCGATATTGTAAAAATATCGAAAACATCGATAATCTCAGACTTGGTTAAAACAATAGGGGGATTCCCTAAACTGTTGAATTGCTGAATTGTTGAAAATTCATCAAAAAATTTCAGCAATTAAGGGAACGACCCAAAAAGGTTCCTGTTGAATTTTCAAACAGCTGTTATTTGTTGAAAAGTTTCACGGAACTTAAAGCATGTAAAATTTGATTTATTATTGCTAGTTACTGTCTAAAAGTGTTACCGAGGTAAAAAGAACCACAAATATGCTTTCTAAATTGATTTTTAAATAAATAATGCGTACTTTTGATACTAAAATTTTACAGAGTTGCCACGACTTTTAAAAAAAGGTGACAACTCTGGCTTTTCAGCAATTCAACAAAATTTTCATCAGCCTTGAGGCTGTTGAATTGCTGAAATTTCTGAAAGTTGACTTTGTATGGAACAGCTGATTAACAGCTGACCAAAATTCAACAATTCAGCAATTCAACAGTTTAGGGAATCCCCCTAATGAAATCCTGATTTTTCTTATCAGATTGCTAAGCTAAAACGCCTATTGCTTACTTTTCCTTGCCTAATTTGCGATTATCGAAAACGACCCACCCTTCCACACCGTTTAGCCTAGCCCCTTGTATCAGTAGCCTAAGCACACACGTTGATAGATTTGAAACGACTTTCCACCCGCACGCTTTATACTTTGAACTGCATTTAGCATTTAGCCAGCATGCTGAGCCTTAGAACTCTAAGCAGGTTTCCGCCTGGCCGACATGTGCTAATCCAGTTGCTTCCCTTGCAGATCGGCCGGCCAATCGGGGTCGGTACGGCAATTTCAACAACGACGATCGGTTCGATCGCAACCAGGATCGCGAACGCGGACAGCGGGAAGGCAGCTATGGCAATCAGTCGCGCGACGGCGATCGCTACAACAACTTCAGCCGGCACCGTGACCGCGAGCGCACCCACTACAATCCCAACCAGCAGCAGAGCGAACGTCCCAGCGGCGGCGGCGGAATGGGCGGCCTGGGCGGCGGATCCGGCGGATCTGGCGGCTTGGGCGTCGGCGGTGGTGGTTCCTCCATGGGCGCCATTGGTGAGTTTCTAGTTTTCAGAGAAATATATATTATTAGGAAGCGTAAAAGAAATTCTTTAGAAGTAGTAAATTTTAAAAAATTATATAATAAATACTACAAAAGAAATTTTAAAAAAAACAAGCTCTTAAGTTGGTTATGAAGTCCTTTTAAAATATCAAAACTAAAGCTTAGGAAGGAAATACCAAAACTGTAAGCAAACATAATATCAAAAAATAATGCTCAACAGTTATAGTTTTCAAAATTATTAACTATTCTCTTAATTTGTAATTAAATAGAATAATAGAACAGTAATATAAAAACCTTAAGTTATTATTCATCTAAGGCCGTTAATGTTTGATTTTATATTATTAGGAAGCGTAAAAGAAATTCTTTAGAAGTAGTAAATTTTAAAAAATATAATAAATACTACAAAAGAAATGTTAAAAAAAAACAAGCTCTTAAGTTGGTTATAAAGTTCTTTTAAAATATCAAAACTAAAGCTGATAGAAAAGAAATACCTAAACTGTAAGCAAACGTAATATCAAAAATAATGCTCAAAAGTGTAAGTTTTCAAAATTAATAACTATTCTCTTTATTTGCAATTAAATAGAATAATAGAACAGTAATATAAAAACCTTAAGTTATTATTCTTCTAAGGCCGTTAATGTTTGATTTGCTATTTCCTTGATTTGAACTCTTCTAAAAGTGGTTCTAAAGCTAACTAATTGTGAATCAAGGTAAAATCAACTAAATATTTTTGATACCAGACCATTTTTAATTATTATAATTATAAACACTACGTTTTTAAGCCCCTAAAGGTTTTCTAATATTAAGGTAACTAAATCTATCACTAACTCTCCCATTCATTTTATATCTGCAGACGATAATGAGCGGCCACGCCTGCAGCTGAAGCCACGGACCATTGCCGCGCCCATAAACGCGGTGGCCGAGACCAAGCAATCGGCCTCGATCTTTGGCAACGCCAAGCCGCGCGAGGAGAAGCTGAAGGAGCTGCAGCAGAATGTCAATCACAACGGCGATAACTAGAGGGCAGGAGTCGGTCCGCAATATAAAATGCCTGATATGATATTTTGGTGTGCGCGAGATAGAGGGAGAAGGAGAAAGAGAAGGAGGATGAGGAGGTGGAAGAGATGGAGCATCGCATCAGCAGCATGCATATATAAACACATACATTAATTAATAACACTACGCTACATACCTATTATATACGAAAGATATGTACTACATTACAAGAACGATGAAGATGAAACAACAGGCTGGCCTCTGTGTCTCTGTGTCAGTGTCCAGTGTCAGTCAGCAAGCAACTTAACAGCAGCAGCAGCAGTAGCAGCAGCAACATCAGCACAGCAACATTAGCAACAGCGAGAGCAAACCGCAACAGCAACAGCAACATCAGTAACAACGCCAAGCAACAACCAAGCAACCTTTCTTACTCTCTGCAGCAAGAACATCCGCAACAAACAATGGAAAGTCTATAAATGTTAGTCCCTAAGCAGCGATAAACTTTAGTCTCGTGCATATGGCCTATATATATAGTATATATACGTTTATGTGCGATTCATGTACAGCAGTTGTATGCACGCTGCTATTTGTTAGTTAAGAAGTAATGCATATAAACCAACAAAACAAAAACAAAACAAAAGTTCTACCATTAAGGTATAAATAGTAAACGAAACAAAAACAAGTAAAACAAAACAAAAAAATGAAAACAATGCAAAAAAAGAAAAAACTCGAAAAACAAAGCAAAAATCGAAAACAAAAACTTTTTTGACAAAACGTTCAGCGTAGCAGGCAGGCAATTTATACAGTTTATATAGCAAACAAACAAAAAAAAAGAGAAAAAACGAAGAAAAAACAACAACAACTACAACAACAAATACCGAAACCAATTATTGAACATGTATACCTTATGAGAAAAACACCAACAACAGATCTAACAATATAAAAAACAAATCGCAGAGAAGCAGAACACCAACTACGTACGTAAAAGAAGAAATCAAACAGCGAAGCAATCCAATCGTTTAAGATGAACTAGAAGAAATGCGCAGAAGTAATAACAATAACAGCAACAAGCAACTTTATATACATATAACATACAGAAGAGCCATCAACTACACAGATCTTATGTAGCTGACGAAGAAGAAAAAGAAGTCTATGTCGCAGACCAAACTATGATTTTTACTTCGATATCCCCACATTCATTTTTTCTGTTCCTTTTTATCTGTTTCATTTATAAGCAACTCCGAATTTCTTCGCCCAATTTGTACTCTTACTTTACCAATATTGATTTATCAAATCTGATTTCTTTGTAGATAACCTTTGTATAAGACGAAAAAGTATGAAAAAGCAAAAGAATTGTATAAATTTAATTGTTGTTTGTGTGTTTCGATTTTTCTTTGCATCCAGAGTGTACGTAAGCGAAAAGCGTTTATCCTTTCTTAATATGACCCTTGTTCCCTCACAAGCTTTTAAAAATAATACTTTTTTTTTGTACCTTGCAAGAGCTGAAAAAACGCGAAAGTTGTAAATTAATTTGAAAATAAAGCAAAAAAAATTTACATAAGAATGTACCGTCGTTTCGGTTTGGTGTTTTCCTTCGGACTATTCGGCATTGTTTTTCGGAGTGCGGCCCGAAAACAGGCTCAGCACTTTGTAAATATACAAGTAAATAATCAAACTTCCCTCGCTCCCAGTCCCAAAAGCCGGGAGTAACAATTGTTGTGTTGTCCTGCTCCGGATTCCTAAATCCCAACCACTTTGTTTGCGATATTCCCCCAAAAATACAACACACAAAAATAAAAATAAAACCGACTTGACCGACAAGCTAAACCAGAGTTAACCGCGACCAGCAGTCGCTGCAAAGAAGCAAATAGAAATACAAAAATACAAACGAGAGTAATGTTTAACAGTTAAAGTAAAGATTACGTTTAATATACCTTTAAAGCTAAAGATAAACTTAACACATAATTTTTAGCACTAATACCGTAAGCAGTCAAAGATTTACACTAAACGAAGAATATGAAAATGGACAAACAATATTTGTAACTCCTCAAAAACAAAAAACATAACAAAAGTAAATGAATGAATAACAATATGAAGAGATCGAGTTGAGAACTTAATTAATTACTGCTCTAAACCTAATTAAGAACTTTGATATGCATTTTAAAACGCCCATAAAGACAAAGACAAAGAATTGTTTGAATTACGATTAAACCAAAAGCAACACTAAAACGAGAATTTATACAAGCAAGAGTTAGCATTAGCATACGTCATAAAGCATCTAAATATATATACACACAGATATAAATTAAATAAATATACGCTATGATTAAAGACGAAACTGATCGAGTAAGCCAAGATTAAATAGCAATTCTACTCTTAGCAACCGCAATAAATTGAAACAAAAACTAACCGAAATTAGTAAGCAGTTAGAGGAAACAATCGTAGAAAAGTGAACGAGAAATAAATTTTTACCAATTACAACACTAGCAAACATCGCAAAATGCTAACTTCATGTAACTTACATAACACAAATAAAATAAAAATAAATCTAAACAAATCAACAAAGTCAAATCAACAGACAACAAGATGTTTAATTAAGTAAATGAGGAACGAACGCTAAAAAATTCATACACAACATTATAACAAAATATATAAAAATATATATATATATATTTTTTGTTGTTTGAACATTTTGTACGATACGTATATATACATATATATACACATAACTAAATAAATAAATAAAAGAAATTATAATACAACTCATCTTTTCGTGTTTCATTTACCTATATTATTATATTTGAATATTAATTGAGTACCGACTCTCAAAAAATCTTAATTCCTTGTATTCTTCAAAAGGAGGAGTACGAATGTGTCGGCAATTCCGATTGGTGCTCATCGGATCCAGGAATTGCTTTGGTATGGAACAAAGCCAGCAAGGAGATGAGTAGAATCGCCTGGGTAGACTTAATTTTAACGACTATTTTCGGACTGTGGAATTTTATTTTAAGCCAAACGTTTTTATAGGCCTAACGCAACCAGATTACTGCTATCTGATAGTCCAGTGGTATTATTGTGGGAAAAAGGGCCTTCGCCCTCACAATGTTTTCAGTCAAGCAAGAGCCTTGAATTATTAATAGGGTCAAGTCACTGATTAGCAGATGATTAGCCAGTTTTAATATATATTAATTATTAAAACGACAAACTTAATAAACGACATGTTGTTCGGTATGATTAGGGATCTGTCATCATTATTAGTCACTATATACAATGTAACACTGTTTATTTTATTTTAATTTTATTTTTATTATTTTTTTTATTTTAGGTAGCTTGTACTATGCAACCGTTGCACAAGACTCTTAAAAAATGCTGATGATTAGATATGGGCAATTCTCTGCTGTCGCACGCGACGTTCGTTTGCTTTGCAGGTGAAAACAACTATCTTCTAGTACTTCTTTTCTTTTGGCACTATGCTCAAATTAAAGGTCTTGATTAGCACTAAAATATGTGCTAGGGCTGACTTTGGGACATTTTTCGTTTTCAAGATATATAAAAAAAAAACCAAGACTTTCGCACGCGACACCAATAGAAGTTACTTTTTTGACTTCCTGCTTAACTTTCGATTGTAACTAAACGTGAAGGAATATTTTAATGCAAATAATTTCATAGTGTTCCTTGATCTTTCTTCTTTAAAATGTATTTGGTTTAAATTCAAAATATTTCGTGGTTAATTTTTTATTGGCATCAAAGTGACTGTCACACGCTACATGACATCCCCAGAGAATTGCCCATATGGAACACCACAACAAAAATTTGTTTTGAAAAACCTCCCTCCCCCCATTTTAAAGATACATTTACGATCCAAATAAAACAAGAATAGATTTTCATTTGCATAACAAATTCAATTAAATCTCATTTTATTTCAGTTTTGTTTGTTTGTTTTTTTGTATTTTTTTACAATTTATTAAGCTAAAGTGTGAAAAAATTTCGCTTTTAATTTATATATATATATCCTTTTGTTTTTGTATTGTTTTTGTTTTTTCATTTATTACATTACAATATTTTTAGGTTTCCCATTTATTAATTTGATTTATTTTGGTTTGCTTTATTATAAATTGTTTTTGTCGTCCTTTTCTTTATAAATTATACATAAATTATGCAACTTGTTCGAAAACTAAAAAAGCGTTAATTATTTATATATAATGAAAATCAAAATCGTTTTCTTTTTATCTCATTTTCTTTGGGCTTTTTCCTTTGCATTTGCTTTGTTTATTTTTAGTTCATATTTTTTACATTTAGATTTTATTGTGCAGTTTTTGTTTCCTTTCTTTTGGGTATGTTTTTGTTTTATTTTTTATTTTGAATTAACTAATTATAATTCATTTTTTTTGCGTAATAAACTAATTCAGGCGTTTGTTTCTTTTCGTTTTCGTTTTTGTATTTTATTTTTTTATTTTAAATTTATTAATCGATAATATATCTTTATAAAAACAATTTTTGTCTGTCAGTGTGTTTTACGAGTGTTTCTTTGTTTGGTTTCCGGTTTGTATTTTCCCTTATTCCCGTTTTGTTTTTTGTTTCTTGTTTAATAAAAATGAATACATACAAAAATTGTTGTGTTTCATTTGTCCCATATAGATTTCCCATACGTTGTTATAAAAAAAATATATATGCAGGTATATTTATATTAATATGTGTGTTTGGGCAAACTTAATGGATTATCTGTGGTTGGTAAATACACGTATTCTATCGAAAAAATTGATAACAAGAGGCTGGCTTGGGCTTCAATCGAAAATCGAAGGATGTGCCGGCGAAAAGATTACAATGTATGACAGCGATGTCCCTATTCTTATTATTTTGCAAGATTTATTTATTAAGAGTATCGCTAATACAAGTTAATGTCCCTTTAAAAAACTAGAAAACAAAATGCAGATCATGTGCCTGTCTGTGTGTGTTGTTTGTGGCTTGTGGTTCTGTGAGTGTATTCCGTATGTGTGTGTTTGTCAAGCAAATGGACAAAGTGTTATACTACACATACTGTTATACTGCTACATAAATATACTCATATTATCATATATATATATATTTGTATATATATATACAGTCGATTTCTTTTTAGTAGAAAAGTGGCGGGTGTCATAATTTTTTAGCATTTTTTTTTTCGTTTTTCGGTACGTTTTTTAGCTGCTTTTACTTGATCGCACATATATAATCTATACATATTCATATGTATATATCTTAATCATCTTTTGGGGGGAGAATCTGTGTGTCTGTGTGGGCGTATGTGTGTCTGGTTGTCCTACAGCCATCTGAACCACTTAGAATTTGTAGCCGGGGAAGTTGCTATCAAATAGAGTTGCTCAACAACGGCTCTGGATCGGGGGATCGAGGTCGGGGAGCCCACTGTGCGGCGGGCTCCCTAAAACTGGCCAAGAAATGAGGGGGTGAGCTAAAAAACGTATACAAAGACAAGAAGAAGAAGCCTGAACACTTTTTGGGCTGGCACGTGCAACCGCTGCATCGTTTACAACCAGTCTGCGCTCCAGTGCGCCTCTCTCCGCGCTTCTCATCGAGGGCACCTGAGAGTCCTAGTTCGGAATGATGAATGGATTATTCAAGAGGTCTGTCTTTCTGTTCGTGTCTGCACAAGCGATAGAGAGAGAGAAAGAAGGGTAGGGAGAAAGTGTGGTGTTCGTGTATTTGTGTTAGAGTCAGACAGCTAGGCAGATGTAGGCATATGGCAGGCATATATAAAGTCTTTACAAAGACATCATCAGTTGCTTCGGTTTCTCACTAATAAATTACTTCAATTTGTTGATTTTCGTATTCGTTTGCTTAAATTGTATTTGTATAAAAAAAATATGCTAACGGTGCCTGTGTCTCATCGCAAACGTCTTTTTTTTCAGTAATCTCGCTAATTTGTTTTTTTTCTCAGTTTTTTGTCAGTTTTTGCTGTTGCTTTAGTTAAGACTTCTTTAATATGTATCTTTAAATTATGCTTCTTTAGTATCATGTATCCATTTTTGCTATCTTGCTGGTGTATAAATATAAATACATATTTCCTTTACATCTCAATCTTTTTATGAGCTACTCCATCTCCATTGTGTATGTCTGTGTCTGTGTCTGTGGGTGGGTGGTTGTTGTTTGTGGGCGTGGCAGGACATCCTGTCTCTGTGTGTGGCTGTGTGTGTGAGTGAGTGGATGGGGCTCAGCTCTGAATGCATGTAAAAGCAGCTTGGCAATTTGTGACTCTGTTCAAATAGCTTGGATGCACTTTCTCTATTGGCTATCATTATATATATAAATTTTCTTGTTAAATAATTCTCATTTTCTTCAGTCTGTTTTTGGTTTTTCTGTTTCTGTTTCTGTTTCTTTTTTTTCGTTTTCGTTTTGTTTTCGTGTTCAACGGGCTTTATATAAACGGCTATTAACTCTTGCTCTCAATATAAATTGCAAATATTTCGCTGGATGGCAACTTTCGTAATTGTGTGTTCTTGTGTTTCGGTTTCAATTTCGGTTTCGGTTTGGATTGGAATTGGTATCGTTTGACTTTGGTATCGTATCGTATAGTATAGGCTTGGTTTGGTTTGGTTTGGTATCGTAATCTCTGCTGCTTGGCTTGGTTTTTCCAGGGTCTGTCTATGTGTCTCGTGTGGGTCCTTAATGGCGTCTGTCTGTGTGTGTGGGCGAGTGGGTGAGGTGGATGGGTGGGTGGGCTGGCAACTGATTATACTTAAAACAAGGATAACGACCGGTTGGGGTCCGCTGAAAATATTTTTCGAATACTCGAATATACGGGAATGCGTATGTGTGGAACTTTGTGTACATGTTTGTGTGGTTGTATATGCAACCTATGCTTTACTAAAGATTTCGAATTTTTTATGTAGAATATCTAATTGCAATAATTGTTCTTATTTCTTGGTATCATCTCCGGCTCCTGCTCTGTATTTGAATTTAATTAGCTATGCATAATAACTGGCTGTTTTACATTTAAATGTTTTTTTCTTTTTTTTTTACAGTTCGTTTTTGGTTTTCTCCTTTTTTTCGATTTTTTCGCTATTTATGAATTTACTTTGAATTTTCTTTGCTATGCTTCGTTTGATTTGGTTTTGTTGGTTTTTTTTTGTTTTTGCATTTTTTTTATTTGTAAAATTTTTTTTTGGTTTTGGTTTTGCTTTTGTATAATTATAATTTATAATATATTTTCTATTTTCCTTTGTTTTTTTTATGTAATTATCTAGACTTATGTAATATATTACAAATGTACGAGTATAAAGCTAAAGTTTTTGTCCATCTCTGTTTTCATTTTAATATAGTGAGTTAACAAAAAAGGATTTTATTATTAACTAATATAGAAATTTCCACGCTTTGATTTTTGAAGTGTATCTAAAAAATGTTTTAACGTTTTTGTAACTGCAACATCTCCGTTCGTTTGCATTTGCATTTGGTATTTTGTATCTGAGAATGCTGCTGGCTGTTGTCGGTTGCAAACTTTGCGGCGCCACTGTGCGGCCGTGTGCGAGAGCAGTGCGGAGCGTTTTTCGCCTCCAACTCGCTCTCTTTCG